CTTCCGTCCTCCCAAGGAATATCCGGCTGCGCAATCGAGTAGAAGTCTTTAAAAAACACAGGCGTTTCGTTGACAGGCCCGACTGCCTTCCTACGTCCTATCTTATACGATGCTACACAATATTGTTATACGCTTAGACTCATCGCTGCTTGATCTCGCGAATCCTCCGACTCACTGTTACTCGACTGACATATAATATACTCATATACATAGTAATAGTCATACTTCGATAAACTTAACTATGCACGTGCGTAACGTCTAAGAATTTCAAATGACGCGACAAGACGTCGCGCTAGACATGCGCACATAGGTATTACATCAAGCAAAGATACAAAAGGTATACGAATGTAAATAAATAAATTCACAAAAGTATCCTTATCTGGAACGCCGTCGTGAGGATGCTCCTAAATATGATTTCTTACTAGAAAGGCCTTAGTACATTGTGTATATGTCTTCAAGAAGGAATTGACAAAAAAACAACACGGTATCCCGCGTACAAAATAGAGATAAAAATGATTATATGAGACTCTAAGAAGAACAACTGCACAGTTCATCTTACATATCCTTATATCTTATCTTATCTTATCCGCTTATATCCTGCGCAGGATATACCACCCTTGCACTCTTCTTCGATTTTGTCTCGTGCTCGTTTAATCGTAATCGGCGTTCCTCCTTCTACATACGTCCCTATACTGTTATATGTGTATGTATATAGTAGGCATACACGTCACATACGACTCCTCTTATTGTACCTTCGAGTAGCTCTGCCCGCTCTTTGTCAATCTATGCATACAGTCCAATGTCAAGAGATATTTTCAGACACTACCACCTTTATCTATAGTCACGGCAATACGACAAAGGAGCCATCGCGTCGTGGTTCCTTATTACGGCTTACTTCCAGGAGGATTTACTGTCGCGAGTCGAGAACGACGACGGACAATGCGACCAAACCGTAAATTGGCTTTCAAGCCCTTCTGCTTCCGGCTACTTACCCCCTCATCCCCCAGCACCCCTCCCAACGAACCGTCAATCCGATCGAACTCAAGAAAATAAAGGAGTTCGTGTTTCAAAGGACAAACTTCGAGCTAAAGTCCAACCTCATCCACCTCGCAGAAATTGAGGGAGGAAAGACGTAAGGGCCGCAACATGACTGACAGAGGCAGGAATAAAGAGATTAAGCAATTGTGACACGTGATATCAGTCCGCACGAGTTTTACTATACGTACTTCAATTACAACTGTGATTGTAATCCTAATTATATCATATGGCACGGAACGTACGTGCATTGTCAGTCAAATTGTAAACCAGCCTATAAATAGAGAGGATCTGCGGATGATACAGAATGACGGGTACGATGGTGGCGCTGGTTGCACGAACGGGTTTAGACGAGGCTGGCAGGGGTTAGAATGCGGTATGCAAATGGATTGATGGGCATATTTGGCCTAAACGTTAATGAGCTCGGTTAACCACTTTGCTATAGTATATAACATAGTGGAGAAGATATTGAAAAGTCAACGGAATGAAATATCTAGTCGAAAACTACCGTGTCGAAGTCCTTCGTTCAAATTGTTTGGCCGAAAATTGTAGGTGCGTTTTCACGGGTGCCGAATCTCTACTTCGCCATTCGCAGTTTAAGGTAACTTAATAATCTGAGGAATTGGAAGAGGCGTCGTATGGATGGGGGACTCTCTTATTTTTCGATCTCTGATTTTTATTTTGACGGAGTGCCAAATAAATTCGTAATCTTGAGGAAGCAGGAGTCAAGCACGAGTGCTTAAAGGACTGCTGTAAGTTTTTTGTACCTCGGGAAAACTAACAGAGAAATCAACGAGAGTGGAGCAGGAATTCAGTGGCCCTAGCAGTATTGGCAGCGTCGCCCGAATAGTGAATGTTTAATGATTCGTGAAAAGTTCAACTAACAGGAGGCAGTGTATGTTTTATGGGGGATCCTAAAGTCAGCGACGATAAAATCAGACATAAAATAATTCAGCTGTCCTGCATCGCGTTATTGTCGATTCACGTATTCGCGTGTAAACGGTGAAAAATATCAACAAGCAAACACACGCAACTGCAGCTTGACGGGCCTGAGGATTAATCAGCGTGAACTGTGTCTTGTATATCTTGTATATGTGTACTATAAAATTGTCTATATAAAAATCTGGTCCTTTACGGGTCCGGCGATTTATATGACACGTATTGGGTTTATTTTGTGCTACTGTAGCGAAATAGTAACCCAATGAGCCAGTAGATCTATATGGACAAAAAAATCTGCAGGATTTTACCGACAGATTCCGGATTCCCACTCGAAGGGAGGGATTGAGATAAGGCCTTATCAAAAGGATCCCTTTCCAGTGGTATTCAGCTCGATAAAAACAAGCCGAAAACCAGCACACTGTGGATGTTCAACCGGTTGGAAGTGCTTTGGGATCTCTCCCAAAGAGAAACAATTGGGATAAAGAGGACCAAAAAATTAAAAGATCGAAATCGCAGGGAGTGACTTTTTCAAAATTAACCGTTGGACATAATCAGCGGAAACGCGGGTTTACGCGCAACATTACCCATCTAGGTGCGATATCGTGTATTCCGAAATTCGAAAACTTTACTGAACTCTATCCCAGTCTTGGCTCAACTACCCGCCCATGAAGCACGGAGACTTTTCGTACCAGCAGTGCACGCCCGTGCACTGCTGATCACTAAATTTTACACACACAGTAGAAAATTACCTTTGAGAGTTGCTAGAAAATCACTAGAGGCCATGATAAATAGGTACAAGTAACTGCATTGCCGAGTAACGTAAATTGTACCACGTTATAAATACATTTTTCAATCTTCCGTATATGTCGATCAGCACGTATTTATATCGAGATAAAAATTATTTTGAAATAACATAAAATCACTATACCCATAATTCTACTTAGAATCCATGCACCTGCTACATGTAAGACGTGATAAATAATTACCGCAGCTTCAGCACCGCTACACAGATAGCGCATTCATTAACAAGAAAGTTAGACTTCCCCGTACAGTACTACAAGTACTAACACTTGAGGATGCGTATCACAAGTACACGGAAGAACAATAACTATACTTGCGACAACAACGTTAAGTGCTATCACCTGAATCTACTGGCTGGCGCAGCAAATGTTATTTACAACGTTGCATACGGCATATCTTTGCGTTTTCTTACAACCGTCTCAAATTATGCAGAACCAGACTGGCTGCCGAGTAGGTAAGCATAAAGAGTGAAGATCGCAGCCGAGTATTTCACTAAAGGCAAAAAAAGCCCCGGTCTTATTATAACACCCAAGGAATGCGTGACATTGCGTCGACATGTGTCACATAAAATTTCTAAAATTACAAGCATTCATGAATAATGAATTTTCTACTAATCTATTATTTCCTTTGTATTGTATCATCAAATTTACAAGTCACGCGGTCTGACGAATACAACGAATTGATATCGTAGGACTAAAATTCGCAAGATACTATTTATAGCATACAGTATCTTCGAAAAATCCCAGCAACTTTCGTAAATCCTAGCGCGAATTTTCCACGTAGTACGCGATATAAAATAATCCGAGGTACCACTGAAAATAAAAAAAAAAACAAGCTAAGGGAAATAAAGAAGAAAATTCTTATGCTACCCCGTCGACCTCGAACGCTACGATAAGTCAATTAGCTCGATAAGAGGAGTGTGCGCACGTAATATATCGACAGGAAAATAATGCGCTATGTGTGGATGGTCAGGTACTGCGTGAAACTATGGAGGAATCTATCCAGACGTAAATGCTACCCTTCGTGACAGCCAGCTCCAGAAGCACATACCACATGTCCCACTTCCCATTCATTGCTCTCATTATCAACACCCCCTTGGTCCCGCCGCCTACACTGTCTACAGACCAAGAATACGGCCAATTCTTGTCGCCCATCGGTTCTGCCGTGTGGAGTCTCTACAACGCGAAATTGAAAACTATCGCAAGTTTCGCGTTCTGCACTCGAGATTAGACGGCTGTAACACGTAATACGTACACAGATAACTGTGTATAAATACCTACGTGTCAGTAGTCGGAGCACGAAGCACTCGGATAACAGGAGCTATCAAATCTGGTAAATATATGTATGTATTCAATGTGTAAAATGGTTTCATAATTACTTTCTTGGTATCGTTAACGATTGATTACATAGATTACAACATCCCTCCAAGGGGGATTGATAAAGGGTTCGCGATAAGGAAACAAGATTGGCAACCTGTTATAGGTGTTTGGTAAGTTTCATGAAAGTATACTTTTCTTAGGGACATAAGATTCAAAAGATGAAGTACACGATGCAACCCCTATTAGAATATTGATACACCATTGGGATGAGCTGGTGCTTATTAATCAGATGTTCAGATACGTGTGAAGGATAATACGTGAAACTCGTGCGTCACGTATGCACGTATAAATTAATTTTTATTCAAGTAATCTACATAACTTGTCAGGAGCTTGTCATTAATCTGATACGAACAAATCTAAAATCTCTTTCATTGAATGACGTTGAACTGAGTTTGAAACATTGAGAAAAAACAGTATATGTCGACCAGTTTTAAACGAAACATTAAAAATGTCTGACAGTGACACTAGAATTGCGTCAGTATGCGGAACCAGACGATATCCACAGGGCAAATGATAAACGTCCTTATACTATATACACAGAGTGGGTATAAGCACAAATCTATTATGATACGCCCACATATTCACGCGTGCGATTTAAGGTGGGAAAAAAGTCAAAATATTATTACGTAAAACAAGAGGCAATGAGCAATTGGTATTTTCTTGTTCTGTCAAAAGAATTTTGCACTGAAAAATGGAACACGTCGAAAAATAACTACTGCTACCACGTATAGAGGTACGCGTAGGTAGACAGCTGGGTAAGGCACGCCTGCAAGTAGTCGTTACGTCTAGAATACAAGTAAAACGTCAGCACCTAAGATAGGCGTCGGATCAGCACGCCAAACTCACCTGTAACTAAACGATCAAAAATTTAATGCGCATACGCAACAAAGAACTTGCACGTAGCTAAAACGTTTTGCTTGGGAGACCTCGTGGCCGTGAGACGATCCGTGTAACTACGGTAAATGCGTTCGCCAGCACCAAAATTATTGCGTTTTCTTGGCCAACACCCAAACACCAGCAGCTACCTATGGATTATTGCAACACTATCTTGGCCTACATTAATGAAGATGATATTCGTTCTTGTAGTATTTTCGAGGATGTAGTATCCTGTGGGATATGTCCTTTTATCAGGATGTAAAGAAAAGTGTCGGGAGTACAGTTCGTTTAAACTTTTGAATGTTTATTAGTCCTCCATTTCATAAATGCTAACAAATAAACCCTTTAGAAAATTTCTACTACCTTAACGTTAGTGGGGACATTTATTTATTCCCGTGAGTGACGCGATTTTCGTGGCATGTTTAATAAAGATTTGCTAATGTAACTCTCCGAAGTAACGGATGAATGAAAATATTTCTTTTCAATAGGAGAAGGGGAAAAAATGGGAATACTCAAAGTGTACACGTTGCATAATATGTTAAGTTAGTGTAAGTGGAGAAGGAAATGGTAGAAAAACAAAGATTTCATATTCAACGCATATCATTCGCAGCACGTTCCTTGTGTCCCTCGTGTTATTAAATTTGTATATTTCGAATGCCACATTCGTTTGTTTATTTCACCTACTAATACTTTATCTATCATTCTCATTGTCAAAAATAAACCCAGGTCGATTAAAAAGACAATTAGTAAGTCGCCAAAGTTAGCACTGTTTTCATATCGCTTCGAAAATGTGTAAAATTTTCAGGTTTATTTCTTTCATAAATAACTGTACAATAATAAATAATGATATTATTGCCATAGGTTTTGTCGACAATCCAACCGACTGATTACATTTATGCCATACAAGTAAAATCTCACGAAATAGGATTGTATCAAATACTAATTATTATGCTTTTATAAACAATGACATTTTCATTGTCATGTACACACTTTGTTTGAGATGTCATCGCTAAATTCCTGATGTGCGTGAAATGACAGCTCATGACAGCTGACCGACTGACCCGCAGTCAGCCCCTCCCACAAGTGTAGGCCAATAATTCGACATATCAGAGTGATATGAACATTGCAATGCACTTTAATTGAATCTAAATAGTTAATTTTATTACCTTGCTTGCGTACGGGCATTTTTGAGTAGCCAGTAATGTTCAAGGGTTGATTAAATATCGGGGGTTGAAGCAATTCGACAGCACGCAGCTGACGCACGGTTTCAAACGCAGTTCTCTCGTAGCTTTGCACAAACGAATATCACAGATAAGGAGTCCAATTTGTACTGTGTACAATTCACAAAACATCCACGATTTTCGTCACCCGCGGTACCTCCCGGGAACGCGATGTATTTCGCGAAACAATCGGATATAAACACGCCGCGGCGATGGCAATATGGCGTCACGCGAGTTTAGCAGCCGGAAAACTGACTGGCGACTGGTTTGATTGGTCGATCGCGCAACGTGACGTCAAAACGCGTCGCGACGCGCCGCGGTGGACTAGCAGGAACAACCACCCTTCGTATATCGGCGTCGGGACTCCTCGCGCGTAATACAAATTCGCAAAACACGTTCATTGGTTACCCGACATGCGTCGCTACCTAACGGGTTGCATTCAACTGCCATCTTCAAAAAAGTTAGTCAAGTGTATGCCGTTTATTATAATTTTTTAATTTTTATTTCGACCAAAAATCCTTCTTAAAAATAAATAAAGATATTGCATTTTATTTATCAATTTTATCAATTCCATTAGATTTTTTTAAAAGAAATTACTTAAAAAATTCATAAATTTTGTGATTCCTCAAAAGGTCTATTGAATCTAGCATTGAACTACGGTTACCGGCCAACTTTTATCCTGATAAATACGAAATTATCATATGACTGAACAAAAAAAAATTATCTTTCGATGATAACTAATATTCATCTCAGCATAAAGGCCATCAGTTACTTCTTTATGCTTCAATTTTAATATCGTAAAGATATTGCTAAATAAAAAGATTATATACATCTATCATGTCTAAATATTATATTTCAGCTTAATATTTCTGTATATTTTACATATTTTACAATATTTATAATAATTTAACTCAATTTTATTCAGGAATGACTGATGCAATATAATACAAAATCTTTTTCCAACTTTTTTAGAAACTATTCTTCTTCCTTTAAAAAATTATTTTTTATATTTTTTAAGTGGTCAAGTTTTTCTGGTATTGTTATCATTTTAGCACTTATATTAGCACTCTGTACAGCTAGATATAATGCTGATTGAAATTGTTTTTGTGCGTCTCTCAAATTCTGGGGTACAAGCACGCCAAACCACTTGATAGGATCTTGAGGTTCTTTTTTGTTGGGTCCTGTTTCCTTTCTACAGATATCAAAGTGTATAGCTTCATCTTCCTTCTTATCGTCCTTTATAAAAGTTTCAAGTTCAAAGAGCGAATTCATTTGTACGTCTTCAGTAGGAATTTGCAGTACTCCAATATTTTCCTTTCCTTGAATATACCGAGCCTTAGCTAATTTGATATGACCATCACGTAATAATCCTTCTAGTTGTACAGTGACTACAACCTTTTGTTCGATCAATTCCAAATTTTGCAGCATCAGTTTGTCAATTGCTACACATACTTCATCCACACTTGTATACATGTTGCCCTTAATAGAAGATATCAAAATTATAAATGAAACAGTGAAATCTTTTATTCTATACCTTGTAAATAAATTGCGTTTGCCTAACACGGAAAATGCAGTTCTTAGTACAAATCAAAGAAAAATTTATACTAAATTCGTCGTAACTTTAACTTCGTTCTTTTGAGATAAACACTCTGTTATTTTGAATATGAGACTATTTTACTTTTTATATGAATTAATCAAGATACTTGTCAGAATAACTAGTTCACAATGTCTCTCCGAAAGATGTCGGACCTCTGCATTTGGCAAGTCGATAGTTCACCTCAAGCTATGGTCGATAGCATTTACACATCGTTTCAACTGATCGAGAAATTGAAGTTCGATATCTGTAAAATAATTCGACAAAAGTTGATCTGAGATATCGTAGTATTCGCGGCAAAATTTGTTGTCACCACTATAGGCAGTCCAAGAGTTAAAGAAAACTTTGAAAAATGCATAAACTATGGATATCCCAAAATGTACGAGAAACGTCCTCCATTTTGACAAAATAAAGAAGAGCACTAGGTACTGTAGGTAAATTAACTGCGTATTCTTCGATAATAATGTAAAGTTATTTGTGGTGGGATCCTGCAAGTCCTTGTTTTGACGTCTAAAGATGGAAAATAAACAGCTAATACCGTCTAGTAGTAGCAAATCAAATACGTCAGATGATACCAAAAACAATATCCAAATGGTATTGGCCAAAATGATGGAAGAGAAGCATACCTACACCTATAAAAAATTGGTTGTCCCAATGTCTATGAGAAGTATATATTGGAAATTCTTTGGTTTTCCAGCAACTGAAGAAGGTGACATTCTGACTAAGGTCAAGATCGTTTGTATAATATGTAAAACACAAATTGCATACAATCGTAATACCAGTAACTTACGTATGCATCTGCAAAATAAACATGCACAAGAACTTCATGAATTGGAAACTGTAAATCCACCAAGAAGACAAACTCTCTCCCAAGAAACTAAGGAACACAGAGCACAAAAGCGAATGCTCAAAGCTGGTGTTAACGCAACACATCACATATATACTACAAATGCTGATGGTACAGTACAAATTGGTGGGGATATACAATTTGTTACTGATCCCAATATCAGTCTGTCTAGTGTCAATGATGATATGAGTATTGGCCAACCACTGCATGTGATGATAAAGAATGGCACTACTGTAGGTCATAGTAGTCCAAATATGACATTCCTGATGCCTGATGAAAATTCTATATCTCGCTCTGGTACTGATGATAGAACTGTATCAGATGCAATTACAGAATTTATTATAATGGATCTGCAGTTACCTGAAGTCGTTGAAGGACGTGGGTTCCAACGCCTTATAGCGACTCTTCGATCACCTTGCGAAATTCCCTGCAAACGGAAATTAGAAGATGAAATTATACCAAAAGTGTATGATTCGTTTCGTGAATCTGTGGCAACAAATTTATCCTGTATAGAGAGTGAAATTGGTTTAGCTATTGAGGAATGGAAGTCGAAGTCAAATGAATGTTTTGTGACTTTTTCAGTATACTTTCAAAATATAGGTGAAGCATCATTAGATTACAAAGTTTTGAGTACATTACATGCTCCAATCGAGTGGGGAGAAATACAATGGGGAACTGCAGTAGATTCTCTATTACTTGACTGGGATATTAGGGTCGAGCGGATAACTGCTGTTGTTATTGGAACTTCGCGTACTGAACTTCTGGATGCCTTGATTAGTAGAGGCCTTGCTATAGTGCCATGCCTCCTCCATACATTGCAAGTTTGTGCACAGGCATGTTTTGACACTCCAGAAGTTGCCAATATTTTATCAAAATGTAGAGCAGCTATTGGAGCCATTGCGAGTCATCCAGCCGCATCTACATCTCTTGTTATGCAAGAGCAGTTGTTAGAGGTATTATATTAACATAAATTTTTTACTTTATGTGCATTGTGCTACATAATTTTTTAATAACTTCACAGTTTGATGAATATCCCATGGTGATGGATTATCCAGTGATATGGACTTCTACATATAATATGTTAGAGCAGATACTTTTGCGAAGAAATATTATAGACAACATCTTTGAAAGTATCGAAGGTATTGATCAAGAAGTTATTGAGCTTTCTAATGAACAGTGGAAAATAATTGAAGACCTTGTCTCCGTTCTTGAGCCATTCAAAGTTACGATTATGACCCTTAGTGAAGAAAAGATACCATTAATATCATTATTAAAGCCATTACTTTGGCAACTCGTGTCGTCGCATTTGAAAGTCAAGGAGGATGATAATGATATCGCCCGATCATTTAAAGAATCACTCTCTGAGATGTTATGCGATCGATATGCAGATAACAATATAACTCTCCTGTTACAAATTGCAACGACGCTAGATCCCAGGTAAACTTTTAGTTCATGAACGTTACAGGAAGTTATAAGAGAAATATAACATAAAACTTTTTCTCCCAGGTTTAAGCAATTGCCGTATGCGACGGAGGAACATAAAAGTATGGTTGCAACACCAATAAAAGAAATGTTAATAAAATTAATAGAGGACGAGAGTGAACGTCAGATGATTGTAGAGCCAGTTGGTAAAAAAAGTCGCTTATCAGGTATTTGGATTTTGATAGAATTCTATGCTCCCAAAATTCGAACTCTTGAATTTCCATGCTTTATCTAACAATTCCAGCATGTTGCAGGCATGGAGCTTTTACTTGGAGATCTCTGTACTCTGAGAAATGAAATACCAGCAGATGAGAAAGCTGATTTAGAATTTATACAATATCAGTCTGAAGCAACCGCACCGCTGGATTGTTGCCCTCTACAATGGTGGGCGAAAATGTCAGTAAAATGTCCCAATCTTGGAAAATTAGCACGCCGATACAATTGCGTTCCCGCTTGCTGTTCACCGCCGAATCACATTCCTCCAGATGTTCAAGTGATTCACGACGTGAGACGTGCCGCATTACCACCTCATTTGACTGATAAGCTGCTTTTCCTTCATGGTAATCATAACGTATGAGCGAGTGATTAACTGTATGGAGGGAAGTTCTTTAAATGAGTCTTGAAAAAGACTTCATATGTAATTGCACAGTAGATGCCATACAAAAGAATATACTACGTATATGTATTACAAAACTTGAGGTGTACGAATTTGATTCAGAACATCAGACTGAACTTATAGAACTAGGCAGAAAACGTTACTTGTACATTACAATATGTTTCAATACTTAAAGCTTGAGTAAGAAAAAGTCTGAAACGTACAGATGTGTGATAATAGGTCCATTATAAAATTATCAGTCGAACTGAATACATAATCTGGAGAAGAGGTAACTATTTGTCAGAAGACAATTTGTATTGTCTTTTGAAATCTATTTCGCTACAGTGTAGCTGTGTGACGCGTATTTCCTTGCCCATGCGACGTATGTATGAATTGAATAACAGTACATTAGTAGCTATAATAAAAACTTCATAATATTCAGTCAGTATATATCTATACGATTATGGAGCGCGCAATGAATATATTGTAATAATAATGCAAAGTCATTGTAAGGAAATATGTATTAAATTATATTTTGTACAAAAAGAAACATTAAAATTCTTTTATGAAAAACTCAGTTGCTTTTGCATCCAGATGCTACCTTCGTGGAATCGTGGGTCTCCGATTTTCAGTGCAGCTCTCTTGTAAAAGTAGTAATATAGAACTGCAACTTTATATACAAATACAATGATATAAGTCTTTTGTTTTGAAATTAATCATCATATATTATATTCTTATTATGCTTGATTTTTAATTATAATAAATTTTTACCTATTTTATGTATAGCGCTGAGGGCATGAAAACCTTTGCTCCAATAATAAGCAAATGGATCATGCCAAACAATAGTTACATGCCACACATGTAATCCAATGCTAAGTATAATATAAAACACAGATAAGATTAAAGTAAGACGAAATCTCGTGTACAGCAATTCCAACAGTCCAACCTAATATAAAAAAGGATTTGATATAAATTATAGTATATGATTATTAGTTTAAAAAATAAGAACAAAATGGGAATTTTTATTACCTGAAACACATATGTGGAGAAGAAGCTTAGCAATAATATGGCAAGAGCAATGATATGACAGAAGTCTTGAACTCTGAAAATTAAAATACAAGTAATATGCATTTAATATTTATAAGAGAATAAATGCTTATCTTACACGTAAAGAATGAGTAGATCCAGAGGATATCGTCGTGCGAAACTAACGAACGAATTAACAGATATATCAAAGATCAGTAGTATTGATTGTAAAATAACTATTACACAGTAACGTTTAGTAGTTAGAATAGTCATTTACTACTATTACAAATCGTCATAGACGGAATTTGATAGTTTCTCAGTAAAAGTAACGATTTGTTTTGTCATTTTAGAAGACGTTTCCACGGCAACAAGGGCTACGTTCCAACAATTGATTCAGTTCATCTAGGAGATATTGGTAAAGAGGGCAGACTTCGTGTACTCTGTGACTAAACTGTCTAAAAAACTTCGGAACATCAGCGGAAGAATTTTATTTTCTTCCTTGGCTTGTTCGTGACAATGCGTGCTCATTTGAAACAAAGGGTGTGTTTATAACCCACTGCGAGTGTTGCAAACAATATTGTACCTCATGGTATCTTGCTCAGATACATTAGGTCTGTTCTCATTACCTACACTGTGCGCTCGAACTTAAGATTGCAAAGAAAAAATATATTTAGGCAATATCTGTTGAGCGTCCTCGTTCGAAATGTTGCTTTGGGAACCAGCGGTGAGTGGCGGAGAACCCCATATAGTTGTCTCCAAGCTGTACACATTCGTGATCACGTTCAACTCGGCTACGATGAGATGCGCATTATCGACGGAGGCGATGATCACAAAATCCTACTTGCGGACTCACCGCTACGATTTAGCGCCATGCTTTTGGTATCGTCCACTAGCACTTCACGTCACTGCGCTTGCTCCCAATAGTAACCAATCACAAGTAGGCTTAATGTACCTTGGCACCCATCGCCTTTCTAAACGGCTTGGCCCACGCAAGGTTATGCTCTATCCTGGTATATCTATATCTATGGATTTGAACGCAGCCGATCGCATAGAAGCGCTCGGCCATTTTCGCGTTTTGCTTTGACGGGTCAACGGGTCTTCCGTTTCCTGTGAAACTAAAATGAAGTAAGTGATTGCTGTTGGTGTACTAAACAAATCCATAAACTCCGATGCAATCGTATAAACTTTACCGGCGAAGATGGAAATTTGTGTCAGTCAATGTTCTAGGATTAATTATACTTCAATCTTTTCAGGATCGGACTTTGCGCGTACAGTGGATATAAAATATATCCCGGCCATGGCAAAACCATGGTCAAAGTGGACGGAAAGGTATGTGTTTAGGATTTCTTATTAAATTTACTTCGATTTTTCAATTACTGACTGAATTACTGTTTCATAGTTAAGGAAAAATGAGGTATGCACGTGGTACATTAATGTGTCAGTATATACTAAACATAACCTTAATGTTTTCAGACGTTCACTTTCCTTAACTCAAAATGTGAATCTGCACACTTAATGAGGCGCAATCCTAGAAAAGTGACGTGGACCGTCCTTTATAGGTATACATATATTTTCAATTTTTATTATAGAATCTGAATAAGTCTTGATCATGACCAGTGATCCTTCTGTTAGCTGAATTACCATGAGTTTATAAACAATCAAGTATATACCATGTATGTCAAATATGTTGAAGTTCTTATACTAGAGTAAAAGTATTCTCCAATTATACTTTTGCAATTTAACAAGATTGAATATGACATTGGTAATATATCAATTTCAGCTAATATTGTAACTGATACATTTTTGTCTTGGTTAGGCGCAAGCATAAGAAAGGCCAGGAGGAGGAACAGGCTAAGAAGAGAACACGCCGCACTCAAAAATTCCAACGCGCTATTGTAGGTGCATCTCTTACTGATATCTTGGCTAAACGTAACATGAAGCCTGAGATCAGAAAAGCCCAGAGAGAGCAAGCTATTAAGTAAGCAACTATCCTCTTTATTTTGTTTTGTTTTTACTACTGTAAGAAATTAGCAGTTAAGTTTCTACATTGTTTTTTTTTCATAATATATTTATTCATTAACCAATATCACAGACAGCTGTTCCTCTAACATAAGTTCAAATATAATGTTGGATTTCAGTATGTCTAAGATAAATAGAGGGCTGCTTCACCCAGAATTGTACATAATAATTACACTGTCTGGCTTTGCGGGTCCATACACTTCATATTATCATTCATATTTTGCTCACTGACTATTTATTATATTCTTATTTCTTATTATATTCGTTTTATACGTTTACGAACGTCTCATTGACTTTTTTACTTTTAATTTTTAGAGCTGCAAAAGAACAGAAAAAGGCTGCTAAGGCTACAAAGAAAGCAACTGCTCCCCCCAAGGCAAAAGCACCTGTTAAACAGAAAGCGACAAAAGTAACGCAAAAATCTGTTCCTCGTGTTGGAGGAAAGCGTTAAACTTATTGTAATAATACAAATAAAGTGTTTCTCACTTAAGAAGTATAGGATGCTTTTTCCTTCACTAAAATCACGCAATTTATTTTAAATACTAGGTCCTTTAGTTCATTGGTTTTTAAATTATCATATCTAACAACCTATCTTGATCGCTTATCAGTGCAATGCCACAACTATAATTAGTATAACGCAAAAAATGATCATTGGCTACATAAATGGACTGCTTTATTGTTTTAGCTGCACATGGGTATTGGAAAATTACAAACATATTTACATGTAATATATTTAGAGTCAAACATTTTATAAATTCAAATCTCTAAAATATGTACATATGCTTCCTGTTTAGCCCTTCTTGTCTACTATGACGTAAGAGAGTATCTATTATGAAGACTTGACTGTTTATTATTAACGTTTTTCACATATTTAAATGAGTGATTAAAATTGTTTAACCCTTTTAGTGCCGACCGAACGAATTATACCTAAGCGAAAAAATAATAATTTGATGTAATTTAGAAAGGTTTGAGAGAAAAATCATGAAAAAGTAAAAATGATATTTACAAAATTAAAAAAAGGAATAAATTACAAAATAAAGGAAGAATCGCTAAGTTTGTTATAAATTTATTGTGAGCCAAAGTTCTCTCACGATGCGAGTAGTAAGGCGCCATCCCATACGCAATAGTATATCATTGTTCTGCTCTAAAAGGATTAATATTTAACTATATGGCGGATTTTTTAATTCCGCAGTAATAAAGCAATGAAACAATGTTTACGTTGAAATATTAAGCAAATATTCACTTTTTATACTGGCTATTCATTTCCTTCTTCAAAATCGACAATTTCGTAAGGGCAGCGTCACGCCATGCTCGTCTTTCTTGCAATTTATCGAGCGGAGTTATTTCATTAAGTTCATTGCTTATTTTCTCAGCAGTCGGTCCTTCAAACTTTTGAATAGGTCCAAAAGTCATACTAGTCTTGTAAATACTATTTTTATAGACTTCGCAGTATCTTTTAATTCCTGAAAATAATAGAAAGAATTCATTTATTATCTACGTATCACTATCAATCTTATTTTCTTGTTTTCGCCTTTTATGTAAAATTTTAAACGATTTTTCTTCGCATTAAATTACTAATAGAACTTACCTTCTGAATTTAAATGCGCAGTCTCAAGGGCTCCAAGGAAAGCGTAACGCATTCCAAGACCTTCGCTCATTACTACATCGATATCTTGCACACTTAAAATGCCGTCAGATACTAAACGCCATACCTCATTTAAAATAGCATACCTAAAGCAAGAAAATCAAATATGTAACGTTCCTTAAGTTATATAAATACACTTTAATTGGTCGTAGCATCTTACTGTATTCTGTTTAAACAAAATCCATCGATTTCTCGCGAGAGAGTGACTGGAGCCTGACCAATTTCCGTCATAATTTCTCTAGTTTGTCCAGGAATTTCAGGACGGGTCCATGGTGCTGGTACTATTTCCACAAGTGGTACATAGTAAGGCGGATTAACCTGAAATAATATGAATATATTATTTTAAACATTTAACAATAATTTCGTGAAGTTTCTTATAGCAAGCGAAGGATATTCTATAGTAATCGCGATAATGAAATATTCAATTTCATCACAATTCCTATTAAAATAACTATCCAAAATAGTCTTCCTCTTATTAATAGCTAATAATAGGTTTAGTGTCTTGCTTATTCATGAAACACGCTGTACAAGTACGTGATGAACAGTGATAAGAAAAAGATTATGTGACTGTTATTCATAATGTCTAATTAAAGCTCATCAAACCCAGATATTTATTTTAAAGTTTGATTGTTATTGTCTCATGAATTTTAAATTTACGATGTTTATAAAATGGTGATACTAACATTGGTGGACTATTACTTAGAACCAGAACTTTATCAAATCAAGATTAGTGGACATCAGTATTAATATCGATTTGACATTATGTCCAGTACTCAAAGATATATATCTACTTGTACATATCTATATCATCGTAAACAACTATTCTGATAAAATTAATTATTTTTGCTTATTTGGATTATTTAATTTCTGCCTAGACATCTTTACAAGGATATCTAGGTTATTAGGGCATAGTTACTACATCTTTGTTTTAGGATAATGCATCTATGTCATACCCCTGAGCATGTAATATATCAGACATCTGTGTAGACGATACAAATATACGTGTTTTCTAAATAGCATTGACGATGCATAACAATTTATTGTAGCCAGTACTTATTATCTTATTTGTTTTAAAGAATAAATGTGCGGGGATCACGTTATTTGTAAGAGATGAAAGACTCACGGGGTGTGAAACGATAACTTGAGAACGATGCTTAAGATTTTCGCTGAATAAAGATGGACGGAAGGTTGATGTTGACGAGGACAGTATAACATTATCATCTACGACCTGGTCAAGTTCACCATAAACCTTCAATTTCAGTTCAAGATTTTCCGGTACGCATTCTTGGATCAGTTTGGCTCCTTTCACAACATCGACCAAATTGGAGGTACCTGATGGTATTTAATGTATGTTATAAAAGAAAAAGTATTTAGCGCCTATGGAAAATTGTAATACATTGACGATTGTCGCATTTTTACTTTCGAATGTGTATCTAGAGTGTGCTGACCTTTAATGAGATTAAATTGTTCTTTCGCATTAAGGCTACCACGAAGAAGACCACTGCTTTCGAGACGGTCCAGTTGCTCATGAATATCCTCCAGTGCTTTCGAAATTTGTTCCTCGACGATATCGTATATCGTTACTTGATATCCAACACTGGCGAATAGCATACTCCAGCTACGGCCGATTAAACCGCTGCAACAAAAAAATATATTTCATTAAACTTCAATGCTAAGTAAAATGTATGTAGTTTTACTAATCGTGATTTTTGATCGATACAAATAATGTTAACTTACAAATTGAACAAGTAAACTTTCAAACGTGGATTCTGTGACAGAATTGTATCGATTCAAAATATTAAAGAATGACAGTTGCAACTGTTGGTAATACAGTTTTTTGTCACATGTGCATATAAATCTTTATAGATTATAATAATACTTGAGTACGAAAATATAAACTTTTGTAAGTGACAGAAACGTTGCAAAGACGCCATATCAATGAAAAATTGCGTGATACGTATTTTCATAAATTTCATTCAACACCGTAATAATTGGTTTATTCGACAAAACAAGTGTTGTTTCGAAAATTTCACCTCACCTGCCAATGATACCAATTTTCTCATTCTTGGTCGTCATCCCTGCTAAAGTAAATTAATCGACTTGGAAACGTATGAGAAGGAATGTTTACGCTAAACACTACGAAGATAAGCGTATTGGAACTGCGGTCTCGCTCCTTAAATACATCGAGGGCAATTGCCCCCCTCTTTAAATGAGTTGATTTTCTCTCAGCGCATGCGCCGACAAGACTTGGCATTATCAAATCGTTAGTTTTACAGTAAATATGTTTTATAATCTTATTAGCGTTATTTCTCTGCCACCGTCGGGAAATCATTTTTATGATAGCTACCAACTGAGCAAATCGTTGTATCATGAAGATTAATGTAGCATGAGTCAAATATATTGATCATTTTCATGAGTATATTTCCCGAAGGATTGGAGATATATATGGGTACGTTCAAAAGGTGACTGTCAGTGGTCATAGAATAATTCTGTATCTCCCAGATGTATACAAGTAATCAAGGACAAACGTTGCTCGCAGTACTGCCAGCGCATTCCAAAATGCAACCATTACAGATAAATAAAACGATCATCGTTATTCAATTATCTACCGTTCGTCATGCAATTGTTTTATAAACAATCTTTATTTTGCGACGTCCTTTTTCTCGTTTAATGAAAATGAAATAATTTTCTTAGATCTAACGCTGGATATACAATTACGCAATAACACGGATGAAAATTTGAGATTGACTAAGTCGTGCAATATTATCTCAAAGTCCTGATACTCCACAGAATCAAAATGGGATCAAACCATTTCAATCTACTTCTTATCATCATAGGTTTGTATACTATGTGCTAAATATTTGTGAACCTTCTATACGCTGCTTACACTCATTCGTGTACATCCAAGTTCTAGTTATAATTGCCGTATAGATATACGTAATAAGTGTAATCTACAGTAGCACGGGCGTGATATTTAACCTCAAGTGACTATGATGTCAATTGTATAAGAAAGATTGTTGATTAGTAACTGTTATGGTACTATAAAAAGTAACTGTTATGAAACTTTTACTTTGCATAATCATATACGAATATATACTTATACACGTACAATGCAATTGCAGGCATTGACTTGTTATTCATGTCCATGATAGTGAGCAATAAAGAGGAAAGTTTCACCTCAATATCGTTAATATATTTAAACTCACAGAACTCGAATTACAGAGCAATTTTAAATTATAAAAAAAATTTATACAAATATAGCAGCTTAATTAGAGTATATGAAATCGCTATTGTTTACTGAACGTTATTGCTCGCCAGCAAAATGATATACACTCCTCTACAAATTATTAGCCAAATGTAGGAAAACAGTTTTAAGTGAGGAATGATGTATTTGAAAAATGATTACGTGGTGTTATCGTCACTCCTCTTTCACAAATAATGAATATGTGACGAGTAAACTTATCACTGGTAGATTGAAGGGCCATTGTGTGTGTGACTTCAACATACATTGTTAATATCAATGCTCTTCTTAAAATGCGAAAACCATAATATGAAGTCCTCTGTAATATACTCAGCAAATACATAAGAGCAGCTCACTACTCGGCCGTTACTGGCTCATTGATAGCTGCAGTAGGTCAGTAATGCCCATTACTGTTTCAGTCATATGTGTCTTATTAGGTAACTTCCTTGTCGAAGACGTCGATATTTCTAAATCCGAATACTAATTCCCCTTTTTATCAATCGCATATTTCATCGTTCTATACGTAATAAGAAGATAACAAGTTACTGCCAGTTATTATGACACACGTGTAATAAATTCACTGATAGATACGTTAAAAGAATTGAACGTTTGCTAATATTTAATCCATGACTAAAATGTATGCTCTATACATATCTAAGGTTTGCCATTTGATGATTTTCGATAATTATATTATTTTACATAGTATGTTATTTTTCTGAAATCATACATTTTATTCTAACTTTCCTTTATTATAAGTTTAACGAACGTACAGTATGCTTGATAAATTCTTAATTCACAACTATTTGGTTTCTACTAGATCGGATAGATAGTATAAAATCGTTACGCTATTTTATATCGCTTACGTAATTTTATCATTTATACTGTTCTCATCGGTTTCTTTAAATCTTAGATGACAGAAATCATGCAGTATAACCTTTTTCGCCTCACTTTTGATCTATCAAAAGTAATAATATCACCCGTATGGCGTCGGTTAGGTAGACATCGGTTCAAAGATTATTTTATTACCTTCAAAGAAAATAAGTATAACATTGGTTCACCTTTGTTGCATAGATGGCAATAGTTGCAATACATTAAGCATACATTATATTACAGAACACGACTGGTAAAATTATTATCAATTAACACTGAAACAATTATTATTTGTCAATGTCTAGGAATTATGATAGGAAAGGCGTATTTAATGGAAGATGATCTGCTCAAAAAAAATATCTCTACGAAAAATCCAGAAGTAACAGATAAAAGCAACCATTCAATCGCGGATGAAAATGATGAACATTTGACGTTATTAACGGATATCGACTTGGCATCGACATCGTCAGGACTTACTAATGCATCCGTTATTGACAATCATGGTAAAAATTCTTCTGAATAGTTACATTTAAATAATAAAAAATGAATAATTAATTCTTCATGTTGCAGCCAAAATCGCACTTGAAAATGTCACAAAGATTAATTCATTGGACATTATAACATCTAGACGACACTTGCATCGCAGAAAAAGTTCCCACAAAGATTCTCAATCTGAAAAGTTAAAAAATGTAACATCATCAATAAGGAAAATTAAAGACGCCCCATTAATCTTGCATCAAAGGTTTAATAAAAATTCAGTCGATCATTCGACTTCAATCCATGGGAACCTTGATTCTACCAAATTAAACGCCGCAACTTCGAGTTCTACAGTAACAACGTCTTTGTACGTGTTGACGTCATCGTCTATCGCTATACCCAGTCTCAATTCCTCTGAAGATATTAGTCCCGGAAGTTTTTCCAGTATGACTTACAGAGAATCAAATTCAACAACAAAATCAAGTAGTGAATTTATTACAAAGTTTTGTTTGATAAATGATTGATATCATGTTTTAATTCTTGTTCTTAGATGAAACTAATAATTCAACATCAAGAAAAACTGATGCTACTGACGATAAGTCACACTCACAATCGATGGAGTTAATGTCGTACTCATTTACAAATGTGGAAGAATCCAATGATACCAAAATTTTGGATAAACTACAGCAAAGAATTGACAATATCATTTCCACGCGTGCAAACACTTCTACTTTTTTTGATAACATTGCTGTAGGTTCTCAGGATCAACCATTAATTCAGGGAAATGTCGAAGATATCGCTAGTAGCACGACGAACGCTTCATCGATTAGTTATAATGGGACGACAACGAAACAAATTCCTGAAATACAAAAGAGTTATCATACTGAGCAGTCTTTGTTGACTTCGCAGGCATTAAGTTTCGAAGAACAGGAAGAAGTGTCAAATGATTTATTAAAAATGCCATTGAAAGTGATTATTCCTCTTAACTTAAATCCAATAGACACAGAAAATAATAAGGATTCAGCTGGCGGATCTAAAACAACTGTGCAGAGTAATAAAAAAGTGCAGGGTTTGAAGGAAGAAATTTCTCAAGAACATACTGGCATCATTAATGATTACGGTCCACAATGCTCTGCGAGTTTCAATAAGGATAAGAAACAAGTTTTTGATAACAAATTACAAAAAAATATTGCCTTTCGTGAACGGCTTGTGGATGATGTATCGATATCTGCTTCCGCCGGAAAGACGAAAAGTGAGGCATGTTCCACAAATAATACAGCCCCTTCCCGTTTCGAAAGATCAATGGACACAGTGACCAATATAACTATAAACACTCAACTAAGTGCATTAAACAAATCCATGAATACTGAACAAGAAAATACTGGTAGTTGCTCAATTGGATCGCAATGTGATTCGCCATCAATGAATGACTCAACAACACAAATACTTCAAAATGATAATCTAAACGTGCAAAATAGTTCCATAGGAAATGAATTGCACTTAATAGAATTGACATCAGTTAACAGCACTCCCATTCACAATGATCGTAGTAATTGGGTAACAATACAACAAATTTCATCGGAGAGTATCGCTGAAGAAACGAATAACGATAAGACAAAGAGTATTTTTCTTCCACATATAAATTTTAGTGATGAGACTGAAAGCACCTCCGGTGCTTCTACATTAAATTTTAATTTCAATAAATCCATGGATGTTAAAGAGAATTCCACAATCGATGAGAATATATACATAATAGAAGGTCTGGGCTACTTCAAGGATACCTTAGATGATATGAAAGAATTCGAAGAGGATCTAGAAAAGCGTCGTGACCCTTTTATGAATTATGGCGATAGTGTTGATGATATAATTTTAACTTCGCAAGATAATTTGCGGAAAATGTCTGATTCGGTGCAAGATGATACTGGCCCAGCAATGGAGCACCATGTCTCTACGGCACAGTTTCATTGGGGAGGAAATTTTGTTGGTCAGAATTAGTTATACCATCATCTTACTATATAGTATTTTATCACCGGTGCTTTTTTGTTCTTTAATGTAATATTTTTTTATGGTATTAAAGATCCTATTGTGGGATCATGGTGGTCTAATGACGACTCCAGAGCTGTCAGAACTTTGGATAACAATATTGGCAAAGGAAATTTAAATCAGAATTCGAAACGTAAAACCGAGAAAAAAGATAAATTAGAAATAGAGCAGCTTCGCGAAAGTCTTCACATAAAAGACATCGATTATTCGTTATCGAAGAAACGTTCCAGCGGATTTTATCGAAATATTTTGCTTTCGGCGTTCTACGGTTTGTAATTTTCTTAAGGTGTAATGATCGATAATTTTTAAAAATACTTTTTTTTTTCAGTAACAATTGGAGTGATTCTATTTGCTTTGAGTATTTGGTGTAAACGTGCGTTGATGACAAGGAAGACGACAAATATTTCAGGATTAAGAGAATTTTTCCTGAAAAGGCGTCGACCAACGCATGGAACCGTATAGTTTAATTAAACTATTATAACTGCAAATAATCTCATGAATAAATTTCACGACAAACTAGTTGCAACCATTATAATAATTTTTTCAAGTGGGTCATGGGAGTTCCCCAGTATTTACTCCTCATATTCACAGAACCCGACCTGACTACAACAGTCTGTGTGACGTCATCGTCGTCAAACGCGACTGTTCATTGGCTACCAATGGTTCCTTATCGCGGGGGAAGAACCTGCGGCAGCTGTCGAGGTTACGTTGCTCGTGCATTGGTAAGGCGAAGACAGTTATCATTTGTCACCTACGTAGTATGGTTGATATTCTTTGATCGATGTTAAATATCAGTATAATAATACTGAAACTGATTCTGTGGATAAGTAAATATTTTTACAATTTTTGCATCGGTGATAAGGTTTTAAAGTGATCTCTATTATACCACAGTATGCCTGAGGTTTGCGAGAATTTTGAGACCCTCCAAAACATCATTGGTGAACCTTCGAACTTATATCCATATTCATATGGTAAGTGTGAGAAGTTAATTAGTTATTTCTTTTCATTTATGCAGTGTATAGGTTAGTGGCTGTAAGAGAGTCGTATATTGCAGTGTTCTTTCTGGACGTTGCAAGGAGTGCACGCTGAACAGTGAATTTGAGATCTATTTGTTGTTTGAAATGCAGTTTTGGTTTTTTTGATCTTGGATGTTGCGATTTAAAAAATTTTTTTTTAATTTTTAGGATAATAGTTTAGTATATATTTCAAATTTAGACACGTCGATTGAGATAGATAACAGCAAAAGATTTTTAATGCATTATCATTTTGATGCCCATGTTTGTTTCATTTTTTGTTGTACTGTTTAGGATTTTTGTTTTGAAAGATATCAAGTCCTAGGATTTTCATGTTCCAGGTGCATCCAACTGTATAGTTGGTCTGTAATTAAAATATCTTGAAGTGACAGATGGAAAGAAATGTTTTGTGCTAAAGATTCCCTTAGAAAAATTTCTTAATTAGTAATGTTCTTTTGCTAAAAGTAATGAATGGTTTTCCATCGATTGCCATTGATTTGCTACATATTATCTTTGTTAGAAAAAAGATTTGCAATAGGATAATTGGCTATGAGGTTTGTGTTTTTCCATCTATTAGTTTAAGCTATTTTGCTTGTGGGCCAACTATAGTAGAATTTTATCAATATTTATGTTTGTAAGACTATATAATAGTTAAACGTTAAATTTTATACAAGATATAAGTAAAAGTATGTGAAATATCTTAATATATACTTGAATGTTCTTGAACACTACTTGAATATTCTTAATAAATACTACCTTTCTTTTACATTTTGTATTTTATAGGACTTAACATGAATATCTTGAGCCCAAGTCATAGTTCTACTGATTCTCAAGGAACTAGCAGCTCTGCATCACCAATGTCTGTTTCATCTTCCCCTTTTCATATAACAAATTACATTACCTTAAACAATGCCACAGTTATGGGTAATCCACAACTTCGAATTGTGGTGCAACCTGTGGATAAGTTCAGATTTCGATATAGATCTGAAATGATGGGAACACATGGGAGCTTATTAGGAGCCAGTAGTACTTCCAATCGGAAGAAACAAGCACCCTCAGTTGAAGTAAATAAACTTAATATATCATTATGCAACTTTCTAATACTATTTAAACTTATGATTTATGAAATGTATAAACAATAATAATTTAAATACTATGTTGTGCTTTATAATATAGCTTCTGAATTATCCTGGAAGAGCAGTAATTCGATGTACTTTGGTAACATCTGATCAGACACAAAGAATACCTCATGCTCATCATTTGGTACGAAGGGAAGATAATAACGATCGAGACGATCCATATGAAATTGAAGTATCTCAAGAAAAGGGATATATTGCTTCTTTTCAAGGCATGGGAATTATCCATACTGCCAAAAAACATATAAAAGATGAATTAATAACAAAAATGAAGCTAGAAGCATTGGAAAAGGCACGGCGATCCAATGTAGATGCAAATCTTACTATCCGTGAAGAAACTCAGGTACACAATGCATCAATAATTTCACAATTTTATTAATAAGAAGCCTTATGCTTATTATATTTATTTCTTCAATTAGTATGTATTATCTTCGTGTTAACTTCAGTAAATATTTAATACTTGTACTATTAACATTTCAGATTAAAATGGATGCTGAGGCAGCACAAAAAAATATGAATTTAAATAGCGTCGCACTTCGGTTTGAGGCATTGTATTACGGGCAAAATGACGTGCTAGTACCCTTAACAAAACCTGTGTACTCTAATCCTATAAATAATCTGAGTATGTTATATTTCTCATAATACTAACATAACGTATCATCTTGTAATTGTAGTTTATTGATAAGCAATTCACATTGTTTCTATTATTTAAATAGAGAGCGCCTTAACTGGCGAACTGAAAATTTGCCGAATTGATAAATGTACTAGTAGCTGTGATGGAAACGAAGAAGTCTTCTTATTGGTCGAAAAAGTTGGAAAAAGTAAGTATTTCTTAGAGAATACTGTTTTTCTATATAATAGTTGATCATCTCTTTTCTGATGCAGAAAATATAAGAATAAAATTCTTCGAGGTGGATGATGACGATAAGATGATTTGGTGTGATTATGGACAATTCTCTGAATTAGATGTACATCATCAATACGCCATAGTATTCCGGTAATTATATTATTATTTCGTAATTTAGGTAAATCCAATGTAGAATTAATTTTAAGAATAGGTGGTGATATTAATAGTTTCTCTCTGACACATTAGAACGCCTGCATACAGAGACAGAGAAATAACAACGCAGAAAGAAGTATTTTTGCAATTAGAACGACCTTCTGATGGGGATTGTTCTGACCCCATAAAATTCACTTACAAGCCAAGTGATAAAATGAAAAGTAAGTTTATAACTTCAATTAAACTTAATTTTTTCAGTATTCTATTCTTACCATCTAGAATTATTGTTGTTTTTAAGTATCTTGCATTTTCAATTTTCTCTTTTGCAGATAGAAAGAGGCTTCGCAGTTCGTATTCAGGAAGTGCCGAATTGTTTCCATCAACACTTCCTCGAACGAATGATATTTTTGCCTCAAGTGATCTTTTTCCTATTAATACAAATGGTATCAGTTCTCACGAGCTGGAGAAATTGATTTATGCTGACGATTGTAATTCTGAGGAGTTCAAAGATTACTGTAAAAACATTAATTTGGATAGTAGGTATCAAATCCTTTTTAGTAGAACTATATAATGTCTATCTTCGTATTTGCTTTTTAGTTTATTGCTTAACGAATTTGCTTTTTAGTTTATTGTCAGACACTTCCTTCAAACGATGTCACAATGAACACTTCGGGTATGGAAACCCAATTAACTGTAGATGGACCTGCCGCAGAGCTACCACGTGTAAGTGTCTTACGCCATGATGTATTTACTTTTTAAAAACATAACAAGGACTATTTTGTTCGTAGTTTAATAAATTTGTAATTCGTAATTAATATAATTATTCTTTCTTAGGACGATGTTAATTTCTGCAAGAGCATATTTCTTCAAATAGTTAATACTTCGAAAAAAGAACCATTAAAGCTGAAAGAAAAATGTATTACCTTATTAAAAGAGAGAACAGCATATGGCGATTCTCCGCTTCATTCGGCCCTTCGTCATGGTCAAATCGAAATCATCAAGTACATTTTACTACTTCTGGATAGCGACGCAGACTATAAGGCATTGGTTGATGCACAAAATAGTTCGGGAAAGGTAAACTTCATAGCCTACTGCAATTATATTTAAAGTAATGTTACGCGTCTTTAAAATTGACCATGATACATTAGAGATCATTGGAATATGAAAATTTGTAATGAAAGATATTCTATTTCAGACACCTTTACATTATGCAGTGATACAAAATCAAGTAGCTGTAACAAAAGCGTTATTAATGCTGGGTGCAGATCCCAATATATGCGACGATCGTGGGGTATCACCATTACATGCAGCTGTTAAAGGTAAACTTAAAAAAAATTTTTATCTAATGAAAATCTTTTGACAAAGCTTCTTGCGATTTCGACTTTGCCGTAATTCTCTTATAAATAAACATCTACAAATGTCATTGTGTTGTTTATCAACTAAAATAATCATTACATCTTTTTATTAGTTCCAGAAGCAGGTATCTGTGTTGATGCATTATTGACGAAAAATGTAAATATAGAAGCCCGTGATGATGCTGGTTGGAGACCTATTCAGTTGGCAGCAGAAGCTGGATCTTTGCATGCCGTTAAATCTCTCATAAATGCTAGTGCTGATGTCAACAGCATTGAAATGTGTTATGGTCGTACAGCTCTCCATATTGCAGTTGAAGGAGGACACAAAAGTATCGTTGAATTCCTTTTAAAAGAGGTGAGATTATTTTTCTTGTAATTGTTACAATTCTCGTACTAATTACAACAAATTATTTCTGAACAATATTAAAAGTTCGATATACTTTGATTCATTTGGTTTTCAGACTAATATTGACGTCAATAAGGGCAATTTTAATGGTAACACTGCGTTGCACAGTGCTGTTGTAAATACTGGAACACGTGCTAAGGAGTTATGTGAACTGTTAATAAAGTACGGAGCCGACCCATCAATTGCGAATCATCATCGAAAGTCCATTAAGGTACGTATACGATGATCTTCATGAAATATTCTGTAAATTTATTAGTTGTATGCTTCAGAAGGAAGGAGATGTTTCTGTAAAGCGTGAAGTCACTTCTGACGATGAAGATGCCGACGACGAAAATGGCCAAACCTCATTTGATCTTGCTCGCAATAAGCCAGATGTAAGTTATCACTCTTTTTAAAATTGAATTTCATTTACATTATCTTCAAACAATTTAACGATATCACAATGAAATCATTATTCTTATTCTCTTTATTTTCAGTTGTATCAGGTACTAAGTGGCGAAGGGATGGATCAAAGTGAAACATCAAAAGCAGTGCATGTGAAACAGGAAGTCATAGAAAATTGGCCAAACACTAACGAAATTTTGCGTTTAGCATCTATTCTTGATAAGACACAAGGCTGGAAACAGCTCATAGAACGTCTAGATTATGGATTTTTGTTGTCTACTCTAAGGGAGAAGCACATCAGCCCTTCACTTACGATTCTAAATTATGCAGATGTGAGTACCGGACATATTTATACAGAATTTTCTTTTGATCATATTCATGCTTAATTTTTTTCTTTCCTTTTTAGTTACAAGGGGATATTTCAATACAGTACTTGCGCGAAATACTGAAATCGTTAAATGAGAAAGAAGCCGTTGTAGTAATCGATGAAATTTTATCAAAACGATAATAAAAGAAATAAAGAGGCACGAAAGGAAAGCATTTGATGATACTAAGCCATTTTATGACATATTGTCACTAACGTGTATGATATATCTACTGCATTATAACATTGTAGTTATGTAGGAAGACTTTCATTTCTTTAGGTTTTGAAATAACGTTTGACGCACTATTATTTATATAATTATTCTGAAATCATTCGTTATCTATTAATTCGTACAAATGACAATGATAATAAGAAATATTGTATTATAAGTGTTTTAAAATTGTGTACTTGTGTTTAACTAGAAGCAACTAAGATTAACGATTTTTCTCTCTAATGATGAAATATCCCAAATATTATTGAAGTTCTTGTATTGTATATAGTTATCCTGAAGATGAACATCTTTTATATTATAAAATACAGCTATTTTTTATTTGATATTATTCCTTTTACTTATAATCAGCCCACAAGCAAAATAGTTGGTAACCGAAGGAAAAATGTGAAGCCCGTACAAAAATTTGGTATTGCCAATGCTTTTGTTGCCAAAAGTAATAATTGGCAAATTGAGGAAAAACCATTCGTTATCTTTGGCAATAAAAATATTGACGATGGCGAATTTTAGTTACAAAAGTCTCTAGCACGAAATATGTGTATTCATCTGTCACTTTTAGGGCCAGTTTTTCCGACACAATTCAATATGTAAATTATACTTTGTGAGCACCAGTCATCTGCACAATGGCTCGAAGTGCGGTACGCTTACACATATACATGTTTTTCTCAAAACTACATTTTCGAAATTGGTGTGCAAGATAACTCCAAAACTGATCCACCGATCTTAATGAAATCTGACACACATTTTCTTAACATTATTTCCCAGAGATTGAACCCAAAGTATTTGTTGTAATAAAGGCCCAAGGAAGACCCCTAATATATCGCCAGAGGACATCTGAAAATATTATTTTTTTGTACAAGTATATGATAGTGACATCATGGGGATCTAAAATACTTTCAAAGAAGAGGAAACTTATTAGAAAATATTTTTAAGACGGGTTAACCGTGCCATATTTCGTAAAAAAACCCAGTCGGCGTTTTCTTTGAGCATTTCTTACAAAAACTGTTGTATCCAACTAGTACGAATAAGTATAAGACTCATACGATTGCTCCACTAGTCTATCGGCTCGTGTACCAAACTTCAGATTCGTGTCTTATATTCATTCGTACTAGATAGATAAAATACTAGTATAGAAGAAAGAAAGAATGAGTTGTACAGAGATATTGAAAATTTTGACCATTGAATAAAGCTTTCCAAATGTTACTAAATATTTTGGGATCTTCACTTACTTTCGAAACTTATTCAAAATATAAAATTGACGCTAAATCAAAATGTAGCAAAATATACGGTGTAGATAAGAATTGAATTAAAATAGTAAAATTTCGAAAATAAATTACGCTCAAATTGAAATATTAATAAATTAAGTGTTCAGAATATAAAAATTGTTCATTAAATAAATAAAGTCAGATACCAATGAGATAAAGATATATGTATATTAATAATATTATATATGTATGTATTTAGTAGTATACATGGTTTCTACTGACTAAATTTGTATGTATGTAATATATGTATACGTATAATTAAATATTCTTGGCCAGGATTTTTTATTTTTAAGTGGTGGGATCTAATTTTATTGATTTAATGAGTTATTGTTATATTCCAAACACTTAACTTATTAACGTTTTCATTTTGGTCCAGAGCGCGCGCGGACATCAGAATATACACAGCGGGGAGCGGGGAGATGCACAACACTACGGCAGAGATGAGTAGGGGAGATACATAAGCTGTACCCGCGAAGCTACACGTCGTGTTCACATTTAGCTCGGCTACGACGAGATATGCTTTGTCGACGGAGGCGATGATCATGAAAGCCTACTCCCGGATTCGCCGCTACGATTTAGCGCCATGCTTTTGGTACCGTCAGAGATGAGTAGGGAGATTGCCAATGAGCCTGTTTTTGGTGGTCTCAATTTTTCTCTGGTTTCGGCGCGCCACCTTAGCGGAGGGCCCTCGAAGCAGTTCCACGTTTTTGATTGGTCGAATGAATTCGTAAGAGTCTCGTTCAGGTGGCGCGTCGACGCGCCGAAACACAGTTCCAGATTATCACGCGTAGTATTACTATATATACACGACCAATCAAAAACGTGGAACTGCTTCGAGGGCCCTCCGCTAAGGTGGCGCGCCGAAACCAGAGAAAAATTGAGACCACCAAAAACAGGCTCATTGGCAATCTCCCTACTCATCTCTGGTACCGTAGCGTTCTCCCCACTCATCTCTGGTCACTGATCACGCATAGTATATCTTCTTTTTCCTAGTTTCTATGGTTACGCGCCGATATTTAGAGTTTAGCTCACTGGCAAGCAGTAGCTGGAGTTGTTGATTGGTGGATCTAGTGAGATGTATAGATATGAATCATAGGATTCAACGAATGAACTGCGTTTTAATTAAAATCGTTGGGTTATTTTTGGAATAAGTACGGTATATGCTAAGAAAAGTTGTTTTGAACAAGCTGAATGAAAGTATGAAAAAGGAATAATTTGTACTAAAGTCCTACGTTGGTTGAAGGGTTTATAAGATTTTTTAACAATATTCAATTCTGGTCTCTGAAATGACCAGTATATTTGATTTATTTGATGGTGTGAGAGGATCTGTTAAAGAAACCACCTTGATGTTTGGTAAGAAAGCAATTATGTATTTAGGATACATCAATGTGAAATCAGAGTAAATAATTACGATACAAAATGTAGTATTACTATTTTAAATTGGTCTGTATGGTACTTTTATATTTAAGAACATGGGTTTGGCCAATGAAATTTATTAAATTGTTTCCAAGGTCAAACAACTGGGCATGCTGGCCCACCCAAGTCAAGTATTTCAAATATATCAGGTGAGGCACCGACAAAAATATTTGGAACAATGGGAATAAAACCAAAAGGTTTATCTTTACGTTCTATATCTGATATGAATGTTCGCCCAAATAGCCCTCGACCTACAAAAGTATATAAGGGTTGCAAGGAATATGAATTTTTGAAGCCAAACTTGACTCAGGTAGACACTTTTGGATGTCCGATATCACCACGGAGCCAGAATAAGCTACCAAAGGTATTTTCATAAAATTACTAGTGTTACCTGTTTTAATAGTGTAACAAGATATCTAATGAAACAAAGTATGCCTTGTGCTAATATAATTGTGATTCATGTAAAACTCTTTTTCATAACTATTATCGTGTTCGTAGAATCAGAAATGTCAGGAATCTTCATCAGCAAGAAAATCTCCAAAAGTTAATCTTATGAAAAAACTCAATAATGAATATGTTTTCAAAAGCCCATTGGTTCCATGGAAGACTGTGAAGAAAATATATCCTGAACCAGAAGTATTGGCTCCCTTCTATGATGAAGAAGAAGAATTAAGTATGTGTATAACAATTTTTCTTATAAGTGTAATTGTTTCAATATATGAGTATATTTCATATCTAATTAACTTATAATTTTCAGATAATATTTATAGTAGAACATTGGAGAAAGAATACAAGCATTTGACAATAGCTTTTAATAAGGCAACATTGCAAGAGGATGAAGGATTTGTATCAGGTGAGAACAGCCTTGCATTTAGTGTATATTTCTTTTATGATTATTTGAATTGGAATTCCTTTGGATGATTATATGTTGCATTTGTCATTAGATCCCGAATTTCTACCCTCACCTGAGAAATTGTCTATTCAAATGTTCGACGAGGGTTTCGATAACGAATCAATTGTTAATTACTCACTGGATCTTCCAGAAATATCAGATGATGATCTTGAATGAAAGCATCTAACTTTGCGTTCTATAATTATGATATAAGTATAATATATGCTAAAAATGTGTGATTTATAATGAATAATTTTGTACTTTTTTAAAATAAAGGAGGAATATATGTTAATCTCATTAACATATTCATTGCCCTTGTGTAATATTTTTTATAGGTCTCTGTCAATCTCTCATTTATGCTTATGTTTGACAAAAATGGAGCAAATGAATTTTGCACGTTCGTGACTTACTTCAGTTCTTCCTTTTATTTATGATCACAAGCAGTATTTTGCTCTAACCAACTGAGAAATAATGTCTTCAAACAAAGTCGTAACTGTTATCGCTGGGATGCCAGAAGATTTGGTATTTGCGCATGCATGTTATGTTGCTAGCAATTTATCGGAAATGTTACCGAATTTCCATTTTCATAAAATCTGCAAGAAAAAAGGCTTGTGGGAGGTATCATATAATCCAAGTTCGGAGAAACTAAATTTAATAACTCATATTTAATACTGATTGTTTAGCCGTGGTTAAATCAAATCTGTAAGAAATATAAATGGTCTCATACAAAATCGCCTTTGATCTGGCGTGAGGTAGCAATGCGACATGGAAATGCTACTTATATTGGAGGTGCCAGTGAATTTTGGGAATTTATATATGAATATTACGGTATAGATTCGTGTTTATCAAGGGATGAACTTAAAGCACTCAAACTTGACATTTTGGAAGTATGTTTATAGATGAAATCTCACATACATTTTTATCAAAGATATTTTACTATCAATAGGCATACGAAGTTGAGAATATGATAGCAAGTTCCAAAATAAAGCAGAAACGACATTGTGTCACAATAATAGGAGCGGGTAGATCGTTATGTCCAGATCTTGTAGCTCAATTAGTATTGATAAAAGAATTATGGCTGCACTGTGGTGTTATTATAAAACTATATGATGATCCTGGTCATTTTTTCAAATTGAAGGAAATTGTTAAAGATACTTCAGCAATTGGAGGAGGTTTATGTGCTACAACAATTGCACAGAGCATGTCAAAAGCTTTAGAAGATTCTGATATTGTTTTAGTATTGGATCATTTGATAAGGTGGCATATATTTAAAGATTGATTTCTTGTATTCATATTAGAAAATAATTGCAAGCTTTTGTCATTTCCAGAGAAGATAATGAATCATCAGAGAATTGGTTGAATCGAAATCGCATGGTGACAATTAAATTTGCAGATGAAATAAATAAGGAAGCATCTTCCGATTTGAAAATAATATTTTGCTCTACTGGCCCCACATGTTTTTGTGCCGCTGTTCTTCTTGAGGCTGTTCCAAAATTAAAGAAAACTAATATTGTGGCAGTGAGTGCACATTACGGTCTTGAAATTTTACATAGCTTAACAGATCCACTTGATTTGCCATTAAGAGAGTTTTATTGTCCTCCTGTGTGGGGTTTCTTAGGTAAATATATAAAGTAGCTTATTATATATATGATAAAAATAATGTAGAATAAATTTACAGGTGTTAATCAGTATGTTGATATTTGGCATATAATTCAGCAGCATGAAGTGTACAAGCCCAACAATAGGGCATTTAAATTTAGTACGGATTCAAGTTTACCACTAGGTACAAAACATACTGAATACAGGTGGTCCTTTTATATGGCACATAATGCAAATCCTTATGAAATTCTTGCCGCTCGCAAGGTACACACTCATAGATTCTTATTTCTTATTGTTATAACTAAATTGTATTGAAACGATTAACATAATTTTAGGCAAAAGCAAGTTATCTAGTCGGCCGTACAGAAGATTATCAAAAATGCAAAGCTATTTGTGACTTATTACAATTGTGGTATGACCGTGAAAATGACACAGGAGATGATATTATTTCTTTAGGAATTTGTTCTGATGGTCAGTCCTATTACTTAAGGACTTGATAAATATATTACATGAGTATTTTGAAATATTTTTAGGTACTTTTGATATACCGAAAAATATATTCTTCTCTCAACCAGTTTACTTAAAAACTTTACAAGATAAATCTCGAATTTGGGTACCATGTGAAGATTTCCCTATGCCAAATCATCCTTCCTGGATGTTCAGAGGTTTGATAGCAACTGCTAAAACAATTTCGCAGCGAATGATTTATTCAAAAGAATCTACTACTTTATAAAGAAACAATATACAATTTTTATTTGGTAGCTAGTATCTTTATCAATAGACGTTGAAAATTTATGAAATGAGTTTTATTTAATGCTAGAATTGTTGGTAACTTATCATATGAACGCATACGAAGAGGGATATGTGAATCAGCTGATAGAATCGTAGTCTCTTAGGTTATGGCATATTTGTTTGTCAAAACAATATACGTCTAATCTCATGCCGGTTTGTTATTCATCAATACGTCAACTAAAAATACAGTTTTGTCATATTGTTATCGTAAGTTTACTCCTATTTTTATAGAGAAGAGCAATGGCATCTGATACTGGATTTGAAATGGATCAAGATCTTGCAAAAAGGCTTTTGGTGGAGGGAGGTACTTTAGTACTTTTAGATGTTCCACGTGGAACAGATTTTGGAATTGATTTAAAATCCTGGAACACGGGTGAGGATTTCAAAGGTGTAAAAATGATTCCACCTGGATTTCATTATGTCCATTACAGGTGTAATACTTTTTTTTTATAATCAGATATTTGTGTTTCATATGTAAAGTAATTTCTATGTAATACGTATGATTCTTTTTTAACAAATGGTAGTGCAGCAAATGAGTTTGGTGAGTTAGCTCCACGAGTTGGGTTTATTCATAATTTCAAGAAATCAGAATTTGTTGTCAAACGATGGGATTCACAAAAGGAAGATATAAGTTCAGAAGGTAAAAGGGAGTATTTAAAATATATTTTATCGAATGGAGTAAGTGTTCACATACGCTTTGGGTTCGCAGTAGTCTCTGAAGAAGTGATTGAAAGATTGAAGGATAATATAAAAAATCTTGACAGATATCTTGGACCATATCCTTATGACATATGGAAACAATGGAAGGAATTGATAAATCATATTGATGATTCAGTAGTACAGAGATGTGCACCTTTATGTGGGTATGTAATCATTGATCTTTGAAAAATACTGTCATGTCAAAAAAGTTTTGCCAAAACTATTTATTCTATCGCAGTTTCGTGCGTTCAGCTTTAGAGTTGGAAAACTGTGATGACGCATCAAGACCAAGGGGTGGCGAATCAAGTCAAAAACGACAAAGAAGAAGTGGACTTTCCATAGAAGAGAAAGAAGAATTATTGTTACCCCATTTAAAACCTGTACCAGGCACAGAGCTCAGATTAACCAAACTACCTGAAAAACATTATCCGGATGGAGCTTCTCCTACTGAAATTACGCAACACTCTCTTGACACAAGTTATACATTAGAAACGTTACTAACACAATTGAAACAGTATGTAAAGTTATCAATTATATAAATATTGAATTCCTGACAGATAAATTGAAATATTTTATGTTTCTAGACCCATGGAATTAATTGCTGAGATGCAATTAGCTTTTGTATGTTTTCTCGCTGGACAAAGTTTGGACGCTTTTGAACACTGGAAACGACTCGTTTCACTAATTTGTGGCGCAGATGCAGCAATTCCAAATCGACGTTCTATTTATGTAGAATTTCTAAGTACACTAGAGGTGCAGTTGCGTCACGTACCTGAAGATGTTCTTTGTGATATCGTAGCCAGCAATAATTTTGTTTATCACAATCTCCGCAAATTGTTCGCCACCATCGAGATGAGCTCAGAAGTGGACGGTCGCTTAAAATCTCAGGCAGTTAGGATGCGGGAAAGACTTACCAGTAAATTTCAATGGGACTTTTCTGACATGCAGGATGAAGACGATGAAGATGCACCAGTAGTAGTAACGTTTGAATAATATTAATTTAATTCATTGCATCTATTACTCCAATATTTTTAATAAAATATATTAAGCGTGCAACTATAAACTTTTTTGATATTTCATACTATCCTATTACACTGTGCAGTATTGTAATTTAAAATGAGGTTTGAAAAAAATGTGTAGTATTTTCTATTTTGATAAATATACACATATATTAGAAGCCTCATAATATATTTACTGATATTGTCAGTGGAACCTGTTATCAATAACACAAAATATTAGTATTTATAAAACATTGAATTTATAAATTGTCATGATAATAATTTAACTTACAAAAGACTGTCATCCAATATTTCTACAATCTGTTCCGTCGTTACACCCGGCCCTTCAATTATTAAATTATCCAGGGCTGGTTGGACACATGAATTCAGGACATTGTTATCTGGTTTAGTTTCTGTTATTTTGTTTAAACAATTCCATGTTATATTAGCCCATTCTGACCAAGATTCTTGTGTATCTATAAGATCAGTGCGTGGAGCGTTATCCAATTTAAGCCAATTGGACATATCCGCCTGACATTTATTGGACCATGGATTTTCCCTGAGTGATATTACACTAAGACTTGAATTTATCAATGGCGTAAAATCAAAGCATTCTAACTTGTTATCACCTAATCCCAAAGCGGTCAAATTCACTTTGTTGCTAAACATCATTGATTCGATTTGCTTAACCCGATTATCATTAACAACTAATACAGCCAAATTTGAAAGATTTTCAAACCATACCGCCTTGAGAACTTCTAACTTATTTTTACTCAAAATTAACATTTTAAGTAGCTTCAAGTTACGAAAAGCTCTATCCTCAATCTCTTTTATTTCGCAACCAATAAATGTAACAACAAGTAAGTCTTCATGCTGAGTGAATACTCCTTCCTCGAGCTTCTCAATCTTTGTATCAATGATGTTTATCGATGTTACTGGAATTTCCTCCACGGTTTGATTAATCCCATTTATGGTGGCTTTATAATCCTTTACGTTGAAACATTTATACCAAACTCCTGGTATAAATTCATCTTGGGCCGAAAAAAGATAAACACAGGATGCCGATGTGAACGAGAGAATACTCAAGAAAGCCACTACTGCAAGATATCTCTTCATATTGCGTGCGTTAAGATACTGGAATGATATGCATACGGAATATAATTTATATGACTTTACTTTCCGTGTATAAAGAAATATTATTTGAACTCAATTTATATTCCATGATTGTTGATAACTACGTCGAAGTTCTTGACCTGGAATTATTTAATCCTTCAGTTTATGCATCTCGATAAAAATTTGCAGGAATCAACTTACGTCGTATACATTAAAAAAATACGTATCTGTTAAAAAATGACGTTGTTTATTTACAATATTTTTGTAAAAATGACGATAATAACAGCCTTGGACGTCGAGAATTTATACTCGCCATACGTTAGTAGTCGAAAGCTATAACACTTGATTTTTTTAACGACAAAGAAGTATGTGCGTGTACCGTATGCAATCATTATTGATATCACAGATCAAGGACCTATGTAATCGTGAAGCGGAAGGGCTAATTGAACAAAGTGCAATAATAGCTTTAAATTAATAACTGACATACCGCACTTAATTTCTATAGAGTTAAACAATTTTTATACTTGTAACTAGGTATTTTCACTAGTTCTTTTATTGGATATCTCACAATAGCATTGCGACTCGTCCTTTCAGATTATAGTTAACATGAAAGAGATCTGTTGATAATATAAAATAATATTAAATCAATAATCCATTAGTAGGTATACGTAAATATCCTGCCTTTTATTTTCCTTCGTGATAAGCAAATATTATGTAACAATTCGGTTACAACGATTCCATCTAATATTCAAAAACTAAATCCATTAGCGACATCTACGCAATTGCATCTTCATATAGATCATTACGTTACCCAGCTCTGATTTAATATACAAACTCAATTTTTTAGCTTCTACGTTGCTCAAGCATTTCAGGATCGTAGTCCTTCACGTTTCCCAAGCAAAATTTGTCCCGGAACAGTTATGAGCCCATTGAATTATGTTTGAAAGGATTTTTCAAATTCGCTATTTCCCCTGTCTAGTATAGTTATCAACACTACTGATGTCTTCCATGATTCCATTCATTTCATTTATGATGGATTTTTAATTTTTTCATTATGAACAATGATGCCATATTTGCCGTGCAGACTCAGTGCAAATTGATAAAAACAATACACAAGTGCATATTAGAAGATGTACGTTAAAGCTGGATTATTTAAATGTATCTTCTGACTAACTGAACTAATAAGTGAAAATGAGAAGTACTGTTTGTATACTATTTGTATTAGCAGCATTAAAAAATTAGCATATCGCCGATACCCAGTGTCAGTGGCAATGTCGAAGATCGTAGCCTGAGCTGCTATCCAGACGTAATATCGTATGTAGTTAGTTAAACACGTGATGGTGCTGATACGATTTTGCATACATTGCTTAGAAGCTAGCATCGATAAATAATAATAAACTTAGTTACATCATGTAAGCTTGCCTTATACAAGGTGTAACTTCTGTGGGGGCCGATGAGGAATGAGCCCATATCACTGTTATAACGATACCTCGACCAGAGTATTGCGTTGACACGTGTGCCAGCTATATTACAATATTAATATAATTCCTACAACAAGTATATCAGCTGAGTTGGGCTCCTCCTTCATCAGACCCTGGAGAAGTTACACCCTGTATAATATTTATATACTTGCACATTAGATTACTTTACATTGGTCAGGGCTATGTGGATAGGACGTGATTAAAATATTGTGACAATTCAGTAAGTAACTTTTTGGACGGCTTCACAGAAGAAAATACTGATAACTTGGTTGTACAAAACTTTCATTATTTTTCATGCAGGATACATTATCCTTTAATTGGTCTGGGACGTTGATCTTTACAACAGTATAATTTATGTATATAAATTGAAAATATATGTATAATTATGATAAAAATTTCTTAATCGTCGCAATCCTTAGTATTTTCCTGAATTACCAATTTATCCATCTTCTCATCAGCGCACGCATTAAAAGTAGTTTCATTAACATCATCAAATGATTGATCAGCAGCGCATTCCTTGTAAACATTGTAGCACTTCTTGCAGGTTATGTACCTGGTTAATTTTTTGGCATCTGTTAGATTGTTCAAGAACTCGGTAAGCTGTGCACGGCACTTCCAGGTCCACTTGTTGAAATCCAAACCAACGTATTTCAGATGCGTCAGAGCTCGGAATTTTGGCATGTCTAAGCATTGCAGCTTATTATCACCAATATTGAGCATCACTAGATTAGGAACATTTACGAAGACTTCAGGATCGAGCACTTGCAATTGATTTTCGGTGACAGATAAAGTATTGAGGTTTGTGAGACTTTCGAACCAAACAGCTTTCAAAGTCTGTAAATTATTCTTGTCCAGCATCAGCATCTTGAGGTTGATCAGACCTTTAAATGCATGATCGTCTATTTCGGTTACTTCGCAACGCTGGAATCCGAGATCAATCAAGATGCCTTTGTGACTTTCGAAAGACCCATTGATGATCTTCGGTACTGGATAAAATTTGAACATCACCCCTGTTGGCTGATCTGCGCTGATTCTTGCGAGACTTTCTCGATAATCCGTACTCCGGAAACAAATGTAATGTCTGTACTGCGTATCATTGTGATTTACTGTATGCTTAACACAGTATCCATTCGCCGAGGCTAAAATGCCTATAAAGGCAATAACAGCCAGAGACCACTGTATCATCTTCTCGATTTATAACTAAAGCAAAATCGTGGATCTTGACTATTTACGCAGTCCTTATCGGTCGTGGCGTTTTACTTGCGTAACTCTTCATATTATATTCTGAAAGAATATAATGATAATAAATATCTATATTTATCAGTCCTAGTTGTACATTTTATTTATTCGAGTTGGCCAATTCTTTTTCACTTAATATTTACGAACAGGTAATTGTCTACATTGGATAAATAACCATACGATCTACATAAGGCATTAATAATATTCCGCTCCTGCAGAAATGTCGAATAACTTGATACGCGCGAGATTCTCGAATATTACTATAAAATAAACTGTCTGATAGTAAATAGCGTAATACGACGGATGATCGTCATCAGATCCACAAGCCACTGTACAATACAAAGTGGAATTCGCCTCAATCCTGAATAGCAAATGTGTTTAAACTCTTCGTAGCAGACCTTAATCGATACATCTATCCGACGGCAGATACAAAAAGTTTAATTACAAAAATAAAATATAATTACGGGAAGTAGTTCTATTTACAAATAATTTATCTCTAATTAACGGTAATCACCTAATTAATATTATAAGGACGTAGTTTAACTTAAATTAAAGCCACATAAGTAAAAGCTATCTAATCCGCACCGAACACTTTTAGTTAACTGAATGTCCGTGAAAAAATGCTCGTGCTATTTTGTAAGTTTTATTAGCATTAATCTTCATAGTTAGCTCCATATATTCCTGATACCTGAAACACGAACAGTATTGACTTGCATGAGGCAAACGTAGCTTTCAACAGTACCTGAAACGTACCAGGTAAAAGTTGAACGATCAAAATAGCGAATACGAGCACGTGGGAGCGTTTGAATGTAGAAGATTGGTTGGCTGGACCCCATTCAGGAATAGGTTTCGTTTTTTGCTTCATCCAAAAGAAAGCTGTCATACGTAATTGTTTCTTCATTTCTGGACCAACTTCGTCCCTTATACGTTGATTGTAATTGTTAAGCCACCGTCTCTGTAACAGGTTTAAAAATATAATATTAATGCTAAGAGATTGAGAATTCATTAAATAAGACAACTCACATGTTCTGGACTCAACATATCCAGATCAATCAATTTGGGTTCATATGGTACAAGAGTGGCGTCCCTGAATTTTAAGAATGTCTGCCCTTTGTAAGCCTGCAGTGAGATGCATCATCGTTACATCAATAATAACTGCTATTTATTTAAAAAATATATCTACACTCACAGGCATCTCCGAAGGCACAACCTCAAGGATATTTTCTAATCTTACGCCAAATTCTCCCTCCTTGTAATAACCAGGCTCGTTTGAGAAAAAGTATCCTGGCTTCATTTTCACAGCTTCGCATTCAGAAGTTGATGTTCCTTGCGTGTACGATATACTGATCGGCGCTGTTAACACATACTTTATTTACTGCCGCTTGTAGATGTAGATTATACGAGCGCATAATAATGTAATACATACGTTCATGAACGGAGAGGAAGTGACCAATTCCATGCCCAGTTCCATGTAAGTAATCGTGACCAGCACTCCACAAGGGTGCCCTGGCAAGTGCATCCAACTGATCCGTTCTTAAATCACTTGGGAAAACCAGGGAAGCTAATTGAATCGAGCCTATCAATACTCTCGTATATGCCGTTTTTTGTTCTTCGGTAGGTTCTCCAAAATGTAGCGTGCGCGTAACATCCGTGGTACCGTCTGAATTAAAAGCAGTCCTTTTAATGATTGATCTGTGACAATCCGACAATGATAGACGGTGCCTAATTGATATTATTGAACGATACCGTACCAAAATACTGTCCTCCGGAATCGACTACCAGTGTAGATTGTTTGCCAATAAGTACATTCGTAGTGTTCACGGGTTCATAGTGCGGCTGTGCAGCATGCGCGCCATAACCAGCTATCGTAGGAAAAGAGATGCTCTTGCTGCGATCTTGTTCGAAACGAGCTTCGTTAGCCAATCTAGCTACTTGCATCTCATCCCATCCATCAGAATCGAGATTAATTTGATCTTCCATATATGACAAAAAGTCACACATGGCCACAGCATCTCTGATATGTGCCCTTCTCATACCCTCAGCTTCAACCTTGTTCTTCTCGGCGCGAAGAGCTATGACAGGGGAAGGTCTCGCTAGTCGTTTTTCAGGACGTACCTAAAAAAGATTAAAGTAAAGGATTATTTCAATTTTATAAAATATATGTCAATCATTCATATTTCATTGGTCCTTCGACCGATAATGACTCTTGTGCTTCAAGACACTCCGGGTCTAACGAATGAGGATCGAACGTAAAAGCGGTGCTCCGCAATTGCTGATGCCGCGGGCGCCAAGGCGTCCTGTGTCTCGGGAGAGTAGAAATTCGAAGAGCTCTCACGACGGCGTCACGTGGTCGAACTTTCTCCCAACGAGTCTTCGTGCATCCTAATGATTATTTCGAGTCTATACCTGCGATGCAGGTTGAGCCTGGCTAGCCAGATGTAAAATTGACTCCTAGGTCGAATTATCGCTCGGTCTACGTCTATGGGGGCGTCTCAGCACGTCACGCGGGGATCAAGCTAAGCTCAACAAGCTCTTCGGGGCCAGGATAACATAGGAGTGAAAGGGTAGATAAACCTAGGATTATCGCGTCTAAATCTCACAGCGTATACCTGCCTCGCGAGATTTTCCTTGCACGGGCCGATAGAAGAAACCATGAGCAAGTTTCATAATAAATTGCGAATGAGATGATATTAAAAATTGTTTATTTTTATTATATCGAAGGAAGAAAATTTACCGCTGAGAAGATTGCTCTGGATGCTCCTTGAGCATATCCGCAGGGCGATGGTAACCAGACGGTACTCCAGGCTTGTGAGTTTGTACGTAGATCGGACCAAATAGTGGTGTAATTGCGGCGTCTTCATGAAAAAAAGAAAAAAAGGTAATAGGAAAGTTACTTGTTGTTCTTCCATTCAAAATATGCAATTGCACGCTGTTTAACGTTCTATCATTAATTTCCTTCCGGATTATGGTGGAACGTTAAATGCTGCTTTCTCTCGTTGACTCAAAAATCAGAAATCTTTCGTAGGATTTCTGCGACATGCTGTATCTAGTTTACGCACTTGACGCAATTTGCATGAAAACAGGAATCCGTCTTTAGATGTATGTCGACGGCGCGCGAAAGTTTGTGGTGAGGTGCGTAAAGTTCAATGTGATCCTTAGTGATGACTGCGAAGGCTCTGAGAACTGGAGTGTTGGGAAGATCGTAGCCACGAATGTTGAACAGCCAGGCGATTTCATCAAGAGCGGTGATCACGAGAGCGTCGGCAGCTGCATCCTTCATTTTTAATCGAACTTGCTTCACCTTTTCTTGCCAAGGTCGCCCGGCGTATTCTTCCTCTAAGGGATACGCTGCGTACATATTGTAAGCTGGTCGTGTTTTCTGCCAGATTAAGTCCACCAAGTTGTTCTGGACCGGGACCAATTTTACGGACGAATTTGCTGAACAGGAATATGATGGTTAGTAAGAGACAGGCAATAAGAGGGGAGTAATAAATAAAAAAATAAAAATAAGAGCGGAGGAATGTCTGCCACATGGTGAATAGATATTTGTTACAATATGAAGCTAGCGAGGTAAACTTCCATTTTAATATCGTTTTCTGGAACGATATAATAACGAATATACATATATGCTTGCTTTTTCTTATTACCCAATTCGCCTTCCCATGTTTCCCATGTAAAAGCAGGAACTAAGGTTGGATCTGCACCGATTATTGTACCAGGATGGTCTCGGAATTCGTATTTCAGCCACTCTGGTATTGTAGGAACCTAAGAGAATAAACAAAACTTTGGAGGAACATTTATAAGAATAAGAAAGATGATATTTTTTTAATTTGATGTGGCACTAATTTCATAATAATGTAGATATAAAATATCTTTTTACTATTCAAAATGATTTTTATTTTGCGAATGTAGAAAAAGACATGAACAACAATTATGACAAACATCGTTTGTCCCTTTTTAATTCTATCCGTATCTTGTCTAGAACCTCTACACCCCTGATTGCTGATACTGTAAAAAATTTTGTTTTTCAATTAGATAAAAAAGAACCACTCAGAAAGCCCATCTTCCCAGGCCTCCCGTACGGAGTACAGAAGGTGAACGATCATCGATGACTGGAAACTTGAAACAAGTCAAGTTCCCGAGTCGTCCTCACGCTCAGGAAAGAGGACTATTCCTCGTCATCGTGGCTGCATCAACTCCACTTTTGAGTAGAGAGAATGTGAAGATATACTACAGAAATGATCCTGTGAAGTATGATCTTAATTTAACACAGCGGTTCTACCCAATATCTATCTTCCACTGTGCTGTTTAGTGTACGAGATTCGTTCGATGCCACCGCCACCTATCCGCTGGCATAAGAACTACGAGCGATATTATGCCTCACAGTTTTGGAATACACTATTTTTACACATAAGAACACAACTTCTCTTAAAGTAAGAAATATCTATATAATGGAGTATATCTTTAAAAAGATTTACTTCGCATATCGACTTACACCATTGCGTCCTTGTTTCATAAGTATCCAACTACAGTCCAACTGATTATCGGCCTGAATGTGGTATCTTCCATCGGTCCAAAGAACGGCTTTATTCAACGTTATTAAAGCATCCCCTGCACTGCCATCAAATCCAGTGATATATTCCCTTCTCATGTCACGCGGCGATACTGTCTCGCTCTGGGAACAGTGATATAGACTCATCGTAACACAATCACAAAATAGGCGAAGAAAAATGTTTGTTAGACAAAAATATATCGGCTAAAAAGCAAGCAAGTAATGTATTCAATTATCACCGATCAATAATTATTATTAGTGCATCAAACTATTCAAAAAATCCATTGCATTGTTTGTCATTTAATTAAAAAGGATCAATTCCATCAATCAAGTTCATCGTCTGAAAATACTTTTAAAGAATCATAACGGACATGTGGTAACATTCCTACGATCTGAAAATTCAAGAAAAGCCTCAAATGAAACATACGAAGAGAATGGATACTGTGGCTGAGTTAGTACCAACGGTACTCAAAACCTTTACGTCTATAACATCAGTATAAAAGAATATTTGCCGGAAACAATATAAATATGACAAATATTTTCGTATATACATACCTGGTGATCGTCATCCGACGTAACAATGTATCCATCGAGCGGCGGACCTTTAACAGCCGTGATACGAACCATTTCTGAGCGCAGTTGTCTCAGCCTTATAGTCGTATTTATTCTGTTAGCCGGTTGATTATCCCTATCAGAACTGGATGAGCAGTGAGTTCTTGAAGAGCCATCATAATTGAATGGAGGTTCCGAAATGCGTTTTGCGCTGTGGGTTACTATAAAACCTGAAATAAATGAAAATTAAAAGAATGAATTTGTTTGAGGCTAATAATGATTATATAAATGAAAACAAAAAAAAAAACTTTGGAGGCGCCGGGTATCGATCCCGGTACCTCTCGCATGCTAAGCGAGCGCTCTACCATCTGAGCTACGCCCCCGATGATATTCGAGAAAGCCTACGTTTTCCAGTATGACATTGTCCATTTCGTTTCACTTAATTTGTCACTTGTACACTTTACGCTTCCCTCGTACTAGGAGCGCATACTAGAAGTGGAGGATACGTAAATGGACTCTTGAGCCGTCAACACTTATTCCAACCGTCTTAAGAGAATACTATATCTAGCCAGTAGAACTGTGTACTTTCTAAACTCTGGTTAACGTATTTGAAGAATTTTCTGTTTATATGACAATCTGAAATTATGAAAAATTATCATCTTATACAATCTCGAAGAGATTTTCCTTGGTTCTTACTGTCGCATAACACGTGGATGATTGACGAAGTTAAAAATATATCCAGTAACAATCAGCGTGTCTTTCGCAAACGATGAAAATAACAGATACCCTCATAATGTCTTCGAATAGCTCGCAATCTTAAAAAATCTCTAAAATCGTTTAATCCTCAAACTCAAACCCCGATCGTCGTAGCTAAGAAATCTATAACAATTACGATATATCCCATACGAGAATTCAGAGGGTGTGCTGAGTGGTGTACGCATAGTAGGTGAACATATAACGAATAGAGGTTGGTAGTACTGCATATGTCAGCCATTCATTAATCACCAGGGATACATTATATGATTTTATCTCGGCGTAATGTACTATGGTAATAAATATATTCGAAAGTAGCGTCGAGTGTATTCTTGGGAGCAATAAACGACCAGGATAGTATAATACAGAGCATTTGAAATGTCGTAAATAGATAACCAACATAAAACTGCCATCCACACTAGCGCATCATGAAATGCATATACAAGTTTATGAGTATATTTCAATATGTATATATATATACACGCTATGGCGACAAACGACTTTCATCAAAGTCATGTTCTCCTGTTAGATTTTAGTCGCAACGCGTGGCGCCACGGTCCGTCATCATCGGACACGATCTGGCAATGCACGTTGCAGGGATTCTGACTGAAGTCAGTTTCGTGACTACGCGTTTCTACGTTGGCGACTTGCCGTCAGATTTCATCGGACTGAATTATTTTCCCCTAGTACACGCATGGAGTACTACTCTCCGAATAGAGATAGTAGCATCGCACGTTGATCACGATTCGGTAAACTTCCGCAACTTATATCATATAATATAGATATAGCAACGCCTAAGCGATTTCATGCTCGTGACTATTGTTACAAATTCCTGATACACCAGTTATGAAACATAACCTCGTACTGCCTGCAAATGGCTGTTCGAGCACGAAACACGTTATCCTGGTAATTTCACGTAATGATACACATTACGCACTGATGGTCCAGCTTCGAATGATACTCTTCATTTTGTACAGGTTCTAGAATTGCACATCCGTAGGAGTCATGATAAATCATTTGTATGCTTGAAAACATGAACTTGCAATCCATGAGTCTCGTTTATGTGATTTAATAACAAAGTGCAATCTTAGAAAACGTGCTCGGTATGCTGTGTACTTTTTATTCTTCCAGGTAAACCGGCAGACAGCTGATCTGCCATTCTTGGGAGCTAACCGTAAAAATATATTAAAATTATTACCCATGTGACCATTTTGGATTCTTGATCTTGTATATTCATTTTTCCTTACAAACGACTACGATTCTACATGGTAACAATGGGTACTCCAATTGCCGTCGGACGAATATTTTATGTACATCTACTTCGTAATTGTTGTGTAATATCCGGTTGTTAGGCACAGCTCTTAATTGCCCATACAATGCACAGTAGAATATAAAAGGTACGGGTCGTCAATTTCTGCGTCAGATAGAAAATGTGGTTCGCAAAGTTCATAGTTTGCTCTCTGGCTATAAGCTGGACGGGTGCCACCGAGGAAGTCCAAGTGGAGATTCCTCTGGGTTCAGTGAAGGGTCTCAAAAGTACTACAGTGCTGAGCAAACCATATTACAGTTTCAAAGGGATACCATACGTGAAACCGACTGTCGGCGACAACAGGTTTAAGGTAGGTACTCCGGATGCGCAGGAATGAAGATTTTTTGTCTCTGAAATTATTCCAAAAAATTAACACTCTCCCCTGCAAAGCCATCGCAACCGGCAGAGCCTTGGTCAGGGGTGTACGACGCCACGGAGCATAAATCAAGCTGCGTATTTTATTGCATGATAAGACAAGGTATAATGGGCGACGAAGACTGTCTCTATTTGAACGTCTACACGCCGGACGTAAACAAAGACGCTGCTAAGGCTGTCATAGTGGTTATTCATGGTGGCAGTTTTAACGGGGGTTCCGGTGACGATGAAATCTACGGTCCGGACTTTTTGGTAGAGAACGACGTGGTCCTTGTCACGTTTAACTTCAGACTCGGTGCATTGGGTAAGTACGTGGAAATTACCCGTAAAGGTATACGCTCGACGACGTGCTATGGCGTTTAAACTATCGTACCGCTTTGCGAAAGGATTTTTGAATGCGGATGACGCCAGTGCACCGGGTAACGTTGGGCTGAAGGATCAAGTAATGGCCCTGAAATGGGTTCAGGAAAATATTGAAAATTTCGGAGGATCCCCTCGGAGAGTGACCCTCCTTGGACAGAACTCCGGAGGTGCTGCCGCTCAGTACCACGTGTTGTCCCCTATGTCCGAAGGTTGGCTGCACTGATTATCCTTGTCAATATAAATTTCTCTGTTTTTAACCTAACCTCAATTCGCAGGATTATTTTCACGAGTCGTCATGCAAAGTGGATCAGTCCTGAACAGCTGGTCGTTTACTTACGACCACAAGGAATTGGCTTTCAAATTGGGAGAGCTTCTTGGCATACGTACGAGCGATAGCACCGAACTGGTTGAGAGACTAAAGGAAAAATCAGCCAAAGAGATAGTAGATGCCAGCGGTCAACTTATGAAGTCTCTGGTGAATAATTTTTTCAGGAGTGAATTCATTTTTTTAACCTTTCGAACTGATTTTTTATATTCAACTTTTTTTGTCCATTCAGAATGCCTTGAACGGACATATGCACGCTTTTGTACCGTCGATCGAGGCTGACGTGGGTCAGGAGATTTTCCTAGCTAACGTACCCTGGGATTTGGTTAAATCCGGAAAAATCAATGACGTTCCAGTGATCGCCGGTATTAACGCTGACGAGTCTATGATGTTCACGAAACGTGAGTAACGTTACGTTACCGGAGGATAATTATAAAAATTGGCATGGATGGTATTATACGATGTGTATACATTATTACAGAAATGTTACGTAACGCGGATTACATAAATGCGAATTTCGATAAGTTCGTACCCGACGACTTGAACGTCACCGATCCGTCGCGCCTCAAGGAAATCGGCGAATCCATCAGATCGTTTTATCTCGATGGCAAAAGCGTCTCGGAGGACACCGTTCAAGAATTCTCAAACGTAATTGCCACTGCTTTACATCGACTGAATCTAAACGGCTTCTGGCGGGATTCCAAATTCCATGACAGAAATATTGACCCAGAAATTATTGCGTTTGGATCCCCCCCCCCGTCGCGTGTACAATGTTATTAATTCGCAAGAGTGCATTTAAATACAATTATGCTCTTTTGTGCAGATGTTGAGTGACATCTTTTTCAACTACGGCCTTCTAATTTCCACGAAGGTTATGGGCTCCCGTGTGGCTTCGCCTGTTTACTATTATATGTTTACGTACGAGTCGCCACTTGGGCTCATGAAGAATTTAAAGATATTCGATGTGGTGAGAGGTGGGTTTTATTTGAATTTTTGACAAGTATCAAGAGAAATATATTTTATATGTATATAGGAGTATCGCACGGGGACGAAATACTGTATGAGTTCTATTCGTCAGCTTTTAAAAATATTCATGAAAAGGGATCACCGGCTGATCGCGTTACGAATGAATTGACTAAGCTATGGACCAACTTCGCCAAGGACGGGTAATTATTGATATATTTATGAACTTCTAATTTGGCATGTAACTCTTTCAATCTTCTGCTTAGCAATCCAACATCGGTCATGGATAACTATGTGACGGTCGATTGGGAGCCTATGGGTAAAGATGACAATTATCTGAACATTAATAAGGATTTAAAGATGGGAAAGCATCTGATGAAAGACAGAGTCCATTTCTGGGTTGAAATATACAAGGATGTGCTTGGTGATTATTTGAAAAATTTCCAATAGCGTTGAGCTATTAGAAATGACGGCGGGTAAAATTTACGTTTTGTTATATTTTAAAAATTATTGCGTTAACCGTGCAAAGTAATGGGATTTTTCGTTAGCTTTATGTATATTCTTCTTGCACTACAGGTGAAAAACTTGAGGAATGCTTTATCTTATTACAGCGATGCATTGTAGCAATAGCGATAAACTACTTGGAGGAAAATATGAAAATTTAGAGTAATTGGTTTTTCATTTGAATTGTACCCGTCATTGAATATATTCCTTCTAATCAATGAAACCATTGGCATAACCATGCTTCTTCGAAATGACGATCTTTCCATCATGCGGATGCTTCACCTGTTGGTTCGCCACTCGCTTTACTGCTCCAAAGAGATCAGGATTTCAGGATCACTTCGAAGTATCCGAATGACCTACATGGCGTTCGATACAGCACACAAGGTGTTCCGCAGAAAAGTCCACGTCGGCATAGACATCTAAAGGGTCCTCTGGATTTTGAATTTGCAATGCAGAAAGAGTCTTTGGACTGGAGAAAAATAAATCTCGTGGTGGATCCTTCCCGATTACCGAAACATCGAGCATTTTGTGAATTCGATACCGCGAAAAGTTCGTTCAAGGAAATTCCTCAAGGATTCGGCAGCTTTTTTCGATTTTTCGTCAATTCTTAACGGGACATTTATTATCCACAGCAACGACAAAGTATCTGTTAACGAGAAATAAGAGAAATGAAATGATGCCTTTGGCGTGATCATCGAGTCAAAATAAAGCAGATTCGTTATAGGTTTCGTTTTCTCAGCTGTGTCGAAAGTTGTCATTAATGCTGTCGTTTGTTCGCCACTCACTTTCGTGTCTCGGAGCTATCAGGTTGCCATAACAACGAAGAGTTCGATAAGTACTGTGAACTCGAGTCGATTGGTACCAACGGTTGCCGCGCAAACTCAATGTGAGTTGACTTCCTCTAGAAAAGCTAACGATAAATTACTACATGAAACTAGGAATTTCGCGGTTGAATAATTTTTAATAAAAATATATATTTTTTCTAAAAATTAAGTCATTACTGTTCCGGTGTACAATTTGTGCGGTACAGTAGATCGAAGAAGCATTCGACCATCTCATCGACCATCTTGCGTCTAATTTTCAGGAATAATGCAAGAATCAAGATAGGATAAAATCCACCGTACATAAATCAAAGCCGAAACATCGTAAAAATCATCAAAGTGCCTTTCAGTCGTTGAGTGACTATTAGATTTTTCGTACGATTTTGCATTTAAGTTTAGACTCAACTATCTTCGAGATTCGTGATGTACCTGATAGCACCTATGGAGGGTTCTGCGTGATGGGAGATAATCGAGATGCTGCAAGCGTGGTCCGCGTCTCGAGATGATCTTCAGCATCTGTCTACTAGGGGCGCAGAGGAACGAAGCTGGTTTATTTTCATCTCCAACTCATGGACCAGTTTTAATCCCTACCCTAACTACCTACTCCCTTTCACTGCTCTTCTTCGGTGATTCGGTCTTTCCTCTCGTTCTCTCCCTCTCTCTCTCTCTCTCTCTCAAGCTCTAGCCCTACCACACAACGGAGACACCAAGTCTGATCGAGCACCGATCACTCGACGCTCGGTATCAGGATCTCCGACTTAACAAATCGGAGATGATTTTTCTTCAGCTTCTTGAGCAGACGGATTTCAAGCGTCGAGGGGTGAGGACGAGGAATACGGTAGCAGCGTCTCATAAAGCCGAGAAAGTGAATAAACACCCTCCACTTTTAAAAATGTAAAGCACAGCTGGGCTGCGCCCCATCCCTGTGTGCACTGGACTGAAATGCCCGGGAAAGAATTTCATTTGGCGTGGCTCGAGGCTTTTTATAGCAGGAGAACATGAAATCGAGAGTGCTGCCTCCTCTAGGGGTAGTTTTCTTGTCTCCGTATGCTTTCAAGGGGCTTCTACGAGGTGCGATTTCATACAGGGTTCGCATGGATTTTGCAATTTTATTTCGCAATGACGTCAGAATTTTGAAAAAAATATTATCTCGCGCTAAGGGTTGAATCGATGTCATACGACGTCATATGCAATTTTAAGTGGTTTCCATAAAAAGCTAAAATTCGATACTGACTATTATACATACGTAACCTGTCGTTGTTTGCTACTCGGCTCGAATGTTCTCTCCAAAAAAGTGGAAATCATTCAGGGAGCTCGACGTTGGGGATGAATGTTGGCAACCAGGACGAAACACCCGGCGAGCACGTGACCGAGGGGGTAACGAACGGCTGACCATCTTGTACTATATACCCTTGTATTGTATATCTTGTTCGTAACAGTCCAACGCATGTTTTTTTTTAATAAACATCATCCCGTCAGATCATTATTTTTCTTGGCTTACTTACGAGCAATTCGTACAAATGTTTCAGTACATTAAGAATAGCAATAGGCCGATTGCAGTTAAAAACATTTATATAACGTGATCTGTGGCTTTTAGTAGAATTTCCAGATAGCATGGATACTTATAGCGAGATAAGAGGTAGGGTCGTTTATAGAAATTCGTACTGCTGTAAAGCGCAGTCGAATAACATTGGCGAATTTAACGCTTCCAGTACCGAAAGTTATAAAGAGACGTTTATATCTCTGGTAAATTGTGTAAAAAAAAGTGAAATTTTTATTCTAACCTGATATTAAATTTCAAATATAATTTACGGGCGTTACACTGAATTCTACCCGAGATCGGGGCTAGAACTTCGAAAGAGTAAATACTACATCGAGAACAGGGAGTTCTGTATGGAGCAGTATCGAGTTTCCATTTGGTTTGTCGCCGGCTGCCATGCATGTGCATGCACCCCTAGTGTCATCGCAAATCGATAGTCGGTATTACGAAGTGCGCAGCCCCTGCAGAACGTGACGCGTGCATGTAAATGTATTGGTATCCAAAGTGAAAAATGTGATTCCGTGCCCTGGGGGCCAATGCACGCGATGCGATATGGTGCAACCCCTTCGACGGGCATGCTACCCTGGCTGTAGTGAGACGCAATGCTGCTTAAGTGGCCCGTACGATCGGCGTTTCAAGGTTGGGTAGTCTGTCTCCGGACGTCTCGCTGCTAAAAGTTTTCCAGCGACAAGGAAGTAGCGACATTTTTCTCGGCGTCTTCTGAGAGGCGAAGCGTCGCGGATGCCCGCCATGATGACAGGATTACATCCCTTCGTGGAGGTATCCAGTCGCACATGAGAAACCTCCCGATTCACCTTCGAACAGGGGTTGCTAGAAGCCCTGGCTGGTTGGGGGTAGCGACGGATTCTCTGCTGTTTGCATTGGGGGATGGCTTCATCGAGTGGGTGAAGCGGCCCTGGTCGGTTATTGGAAACCGATGCGACAAGGAGGTCTTCCGTGACCTACCTCCTGATCAGGGACCCAGGACCATCGCTAGGATGTTTACTGCATTATTAGATCATTAGAATATTTTAACCAGGTATTTTTTTTTAATAAAAGATTTATATTTTTGTTTATTAAGCAACGTATATTAAATAATTATTATAAATTTATTAGATACATTTTTATGTTTTATATTTCTAAGATAATAACTGAGAATGGATTTTTATATTTAAAAAAATATTTTTTTAAAAATATTATTGCAGATATATTTATTTGTTAAACATCAAGACATTTGTATTTCAATGACAGTTACATCAGTCTGTGTTAACGATATGTAATTTGAGGCTAATATTTTTGTCATATCGTTCGGGTAATTGACGCCTTGATATTTCAGACGGACTACAATCATCAAGATATTTATTGACGTTCGATATCCAATAAATAGGGCTCTTAACAGACGAGAATAGGAATTCCCGATTGGTTCTTGGAGCGGGCTGCCATACGGAGCTAGAGGTTTCGTGACTAACGGCGTATATTCATGTAAACAGGCCAGGGTTGGTTGGGTCAGTGTATGCTGGGTAAATCGATAAATCGAACGCAGCGCGGTAACGTTGCGACAGTCTAAAATAACCAGCTAGTAGAAACTCGACCGGAAACGGAATAGGATCTCATGTTGGACAGAAGGTAGAACCAATACTCCAATAGCGGTTATCGGTTTTTAATGCATTCGCGCGAACGCCTGGCGAACGTTTTCGGAACTGCATGCAGTTAAGGGTGGTAAAAATATTACGTCCAATGACAATGCGTATCGCTTTGTATTTATTGGAAAACAAGGGCGGTTTGGTAACAGGAAAGCACGACAGTGCTAGGGGTCGTTTCTAACCCCTGTGCAGGGCAGTCGAAATGGCACCCTCGAACATCCCTTCTTTATTCTGGCAAACAGCGGAGCTGTCATCGACTATAGGGCTTCCTAGCTGTGACTACCAGGAGAGTTTGGCTAACTCCCTTCTGTCACTGGCTAACAATAGTATAACCCTCGCTGATATAGAACACACGAGGGGAGTATAGAGTTTACTAGCAGGTTTGTTAAGGGTCAAATTTTATAGCACGATAAAAATTCTATATAATGAGGGTTGGTTCTATGAGTTGATATCAAAAAGATGTAATGTAGGAATCATTCTGGCATAAATATAAATTCCAGTAAAGGTATATGAAATTTTTTAATCTTGCACATATATATATATATATATATATATATATGTGTGTGTGTGTGTGTGTTTGTTCAGAATATGTGGATGACGATATATTTTATAGGTTATAATATTTAATAATATATTTTTACTGGGTGATTACTTTAAAATGTGGAGGAAGGTAATGGAACGAGAAATACCTGCACATGTAGGTAAAGCGTGATCGACTGCGAACCGTCAGGAGTTCAGCACACGGTAGAGAAAAGTTATTCTGATTTACTACTAGCCAGAACTATCAAAGATTAAACAGAAGTAAGGAGGTGGCATGAATTTGTCGGTGCGATATTAGAGGAGTATCAACATTGCAGGAGTTAATTTTCAGTCAAAGAGATATATATCATTACTGATCGATTCGATTGGGTTTCAAGTGTCTATGCGTGATCTGTTACCAGCGGGCAGAGGAATACAGCGGAATTGAGTCCCTTGATGGGAAGTAATGGGTTAGAACAGACTAGCCCCTTGTCTATTAGGATCGTAGGAATTTCAAGTTGGCTTCCTTGAAACGTTGGACGAAATTATTCGGCTTAATGCACAGTTCTGATGAGAATTTTACTATTAAAATATTTTACACGACTTGAGAATGAAGGCTACGAAAATCAAGAAAAAATAAGAA